TATATAATAGCAAGTGTCTGGAAATGTTTTGGTCATATAGTGGAAATTTTGGTCATATGTTTGGTCCTATAATTACACTGTAATTCTGAAATCTGTTTCTTATTTTAACCTATCACAGACAGGATCATCTACGGCCAAAGCCTTTTCGTGATCATTATCGTTCATTAATCATATGCATTTCATTAAGGATTGTTTTTTCTTGTCACCTTGTTGACCAGTTTATTAAAATGGGTTTTAACCTTTTCGAAATATATGATGTAACTATTGTAACTGTGCTACTAAAGTATCTGAGATTGCTTAATGTTAGCCATTGAGTTTCCTCTAATAAAAAATCTGGTTCTTGCGGGGACTATGAATAGATGCTTGTATTACGGTAGAGAACAAATAACGCAGAAAATTCAGTACATTGTAAGTCTTTTGCGAAATTTTTTTTATCCAAGCATCCCCCCGGGGGTTGACGTAGAGTACTCTGTACTGGCTAGGATCTGTACCTAGACAGTCTCGGCCACGGGGGTATAAAATTTATGAACTTGGCGGTTCCCGATGATCCATGGGGTAGGTTTATACTTGCTCTTCATGGGCCGGGAGGTGTAAGTCCTCATTAACCAGGGTATTGGTAGCCAAATATCAAATTGGACCATTGAGAGTCCGGTCACTGCTGTCCTTGGAATTCCATGTAAAGCCTAAGGAGAGGGGCATCCCGCGTAGTGCTGGCAGGTAGCCAAATTAACGGCCAGTCATCGCTCCAAGTTGTCATCACCCACCCCACCGTGGTCTCGGTCCAGCCGGGACGGTGGTCTTGACTGGTCCGTGTTTAGCGGTGGGTTTGCTGTTCGTTGAGCGTTCAGCGGTTGCAGCCAAAAATGGTTGGTGTCTCGGGGATGTGGGACCCTGGGCCCAGCAGGTGTGTTTAAAGTCATCTCGAGTGACTGTTTCTGGTTTGATACCAGTCCCCGAATGTGATTTAGTTCACGGGCGGTGGTATAAACTTACAGTTATCCAAGCATGAACTGACAGTAAATTCGGTGAAACAGCTGTTCTTTTGTTACATTTTCGATAACTTTTCATGATACATCAGCTGTTACAGAGAGATGAATTTCTCAACCATCAACTCAAGTTTTACAACGGTCAATAACTTGTAAATCGCACATTATATCACGTATCTTAAAACTTCTACCCAAAAATCTTCCTTTTCAGGCAATATTTGATTCAAACCAATATTTAAACTAATTTTACTTACACTTTAAAAATTTCCGTTTCTGAAAATTTTAGATTTTCAAACGGTTAAATTATTAGATTTGTCTCCATATAATATTATAATTATCTATAGCTTAAAATATCCACATATTACAGGCACTTAAACACTAATTGACTGAGTGAACGAAGTATTGATTCCGTGCTTAAGAGAGCTATATTAGATCCTGTCTTACATTGCACCTGAGGGACATGTATAGATAAATTCGAAACATTAAGAGCATTAGCTACTTTGGGGAAGACTTTCTAAGGGAAAAACGATGCCCCACAGCAGCAAAGGAAAGAAAGGAGATAAGAATTGTTAAGAACTACACATAATTACGATCTGGCACTCGACTTGTTATTATTTGCGCTTCCTCCTTCCCTGTGAAAGGCGAAAATAGTAATTATTTAGTATCTGCTTTTATCTTCAATTTTTACCGTGTACAACGCATGTTCACTAACCATGAAGATAAAAATATGAAACAGAAGATAGGTCGACCTTCGAAAGTAACCTTCAGGTTTTAATCTTTAGCAGTTGGAAATACCAGTTCTTTTAGGTTAATGGAATTGCAGTTATTCTATGCCCTTTTCAACATATATCAAAAGATAAAGAAAGATATTATAATAATAACTAAGAGCAAGAACTGAAATTCTAAAACTTTCAGAAGATTTTTTAATCCAACAAATTTTCGGCATTTTTTCCATAAATGCTGATTTAATACTAACTTTGGTAACGATGAGTTCATACTCCTGTTTATGAAAATGAATTTCAGTTTGTCAGAGACTAACAAATTTTGCAGTCCTGATCTAATAGATTGTATGATATTTAGTATCTTATTTTACTACTTTCATAAATACAGCAAAACGGAACTTCAGAAATAAAAGTTATTTGGGAAACCAGAATATTAAGCTCCGCCATTTACGGATCGTTTCACATTTTAATTTTTTCAGAGATGTATCGCATTGAAAGTTTCGATAAGAATTAAACTGCAGATTCGTCTGTTAGAGACCGCTTTTAATTTGAAGTGTTTAATTTATTTATTCATTTGGTTTTTGCTTGCATTAGAATTCTTTGGATTTCACAATCACAGTGTGCTTTTATGCATATCAGTTATAATAGTAGCTAAGGAGCTGAAACTTATTAAAATGCCATGGATATCGAAAAACTGTTCCCCCCCCTAATCCTATCGATTTCTGAATTTTCCTATTATAAATTCAGAAGCATTCGAAAAATAAACTTCGTTAAGTGTGTTTTTCTGTATTTATAGTAACGTGTTTAAAGCTGGAAAATTTATTTTCCATCAGACTTTGTTTTGGTACTAGCAAATCTAAACAAATGATAAATTTTTAAAGTTTGTAATTATTTTAGATATTTTTTTTTTCTTTCTTTTCGCATAAATGTTCACCATAATGTTATGAAATAACTTACGGCAAAGAAATTTCCGTTCTTTAAAATATCCAGTGAGCAAATTATCTATTCTGTTGGTAAAAGTTTTCATTTCCAGTAACAAAAGGAGGAGGAAGACCTAGATATTTTTATCACACGTCGTTTCGAAATTTAAAAAAAAAGGTATAAAAAATGTCAGAGAAAACAATGCGTTCATGGTGTAACATTATATTTTGTTTCATTTTGAAAGCTATCGATAAATTTTGAGTAATATAATATACAGCTTTCCACTTTGAAATGTTTACTTGTGCTTTAAAAATATTAAAATGTGCAAAAGAAAAAATATTGTCTTCAAAATTAATTGCTGTTATTTAAAACGCTAAAGGAATTTATGGAAAAGTAAGAGCTCATAAATATAATGTTTTTATTTCTAATGTTTATAACATTTTCATTTTTCATCTAGAATCCTAAATCTTTGTATCACAATAATGAAGATGATGTATAAATCTTAGGATCACAATAATGAAGATGGCACATAATCCGGATTTTTAGCAAGCATAAATGCTAAAAATCTAGCATTAGTATCATAATACTGAAAGTGACACATTATCCAGATTTTTAAAAAAGCATAAATGAAATAACGCACAGGTTCAATTTCCAAGCTATTTTCGAAAGTGTATTGGTGGTATAATATAACGCACTCACAGTTTTCTTGCGGGTACGTACTGATTTGTATTGAACATAACCGTAACCGTGCATTCCAAAAATTGCATGTTTATCACTTGCTCTATCCAATATCCCGCCCACTTTCAGGAGTCGCTGAATAGTGACAGTTCAAGCCGACGAAATTTCCCGGGAGGTTTCGTGGTTTCTGCATGTGTAATGCGGATATGAGCCAATTTCACTTAAAAAATTCTCCACGAAGACATCCCTCTCGAGCCGCCTAGTCGGTATAGTGGTCAGGAAAGCTGACTGCGATGCCGAAGGGCCTGGGTTCGAATCCCGGAGAAGACATGGTTGTAAATCGTCCGTCCCTTTATAGGAAAGGCTATGGTTGCCCACCTATTAGGTGCCTCCATAATAAAGATACCACCACATCCGGCCTTGTATAGATTAATGGACTGGGTTACATTTGTAATTGTTCACAATATGCCATTGGGAAAAAAAATCCCTCTCGATAGTCGAGAGCCCTTGATTTGCTTTGCCTTAATCAATAAGCCTAACCTATTCGATGCCCAGAAAAACCTAAACATCAAATTTCAAATCTTCGGGCATGCTCAAGTTGCTTGGTTTTTCTTGCGGTTTTCTTACACATATTAGCTCAAAATTCAGTTCAGTAATCCTCGTGATACAAGGGTAATATTTTAATGAAGGAGTGAAAAGTAAATAACACTTGCTGTCTTTTGGTAATGATGATATGGGTACTGTAGATAAGTTTATGGTAAATTTATTCTACAGATAATTATTTCAGGATCCAGTCTAAGACGCATTTTTTAGTATGTTTTGCAAAATATGGCGCTAAAGTGCGAAATAAAACTAAAGTGATTATAACTTCTATCTTTTCAAAATACTTGCTGAAAAAATATCTTCAGTTAATAAAATTAATTTAGGAAATTGACATTTCCAAAGCGTTGTACTAAATGAAAAACGTTTGCAGTAGATAAACTAAATTCAAAAAAATTATTTACAGCTCTCAGTTACTGTTCTACAAATGTTTTAATCCCAACTGCAAAAATTATTGTTGAATTTTAAATTAATAGTTAATAAGCAATAATAAAAATATTCTTGGTACTTTATTCTTTAGCCAGATTTAGCTTTACCGTACATGGAGATGCGTTTGAGAGATAGTAAAACTGCTTTTAGAGATGTATGAGTTTTTAAATACTGCTTTTTGAAATGTGTAAGGTGTGTTAGCATTTGAAAATGGTGCACATTTTTATGCAGTACATAGTTAGGTAAATCGTTAATTGTAATAAAACACGGCAGGTTAATATGCTAATAACATGACTTCCTTCATAGAGGGAAAATAAGTTTGTAATTACGTAGACAATAGAAAAAAATCATTGAATTTCCTTACATCTAGCCCATCCTAAGGGAAATCGAGCCTTTGATGAAACTAGTAGCGTTCACTAGTATCGAGCTAATAGTGGACTACATACTTATGAATAATTTTCAAAAGCTTAAACGTATGGTGAAGATATTTTTAGATAAAGAAATGTTTAACTTCGTTTATGTGTGCGATGAATTGACGAATTATAAAGATATAGTTAGGACAGTTCTGATATTTTTCCCTTGCTACTCTTTACCTGTGTTTTAAGCACTCTTCAAATATTTAAAGTTTTATATTTTCCTCATATCTTGCGTTTTGTCTTCATAGATTAAACAACTACCTGAAGATGAACAGTTCTCGGAGGATTACAAAGTAAGTTTTTTCAGTTATTTACCTTTAATTTATTTACTTTACCTTATTATTGAATTTTAGTTCTTCGAAAAATATTTTTTACATGCATTTTGTCTTGTGAATATTTAAATTTATTTTGCGATATTTTATTCTTAAATAATTCCTTAATCTTCTATTTATGATATAGTGGGACATCGTGAAATGTAAAGGTCGTTTCACACTGGACACTAAACTTATCAGATGGACGACAGACAAATGGGAGTCTTTGTGCGACCTCAAGAGAATATATAAATTTAGCCTTGGGGAACCCGCGTGCTTAGAATATTGGAATGAAGATCGGTGGTTTGGTCTTCAGAGGGTGCAAGGGGTTAATCCAGTTTTAATAAAACTTTGCACAGAAATACCTGAAAAGTAAGTGAATAAAATTTAGCAAGCATAATCAACTATTACTAAAAACTGTCGTGCGTACCCTTCTATTCAGTACATGTTTTAAAAAATAATAATAATATTTATACCGTATGGATGGACAGCTTAAAAGAACTGTTAAATCTTGCAGTTAAAGGCCTACTGAAATAAGGCTTTTTTACAGTGTCAATAAATTACACTGCGCGGTAACCAAATTAAATACAAAACAATTTAATTAGTATAACTAAACTAAAAACATTTGCCACGACTTTCGATGCTCAGAAACTTGTGAAACTAAACTTCTTAGATATGAGTTTAGTTTCAAATCAGACTTCTTATCAATAAATCAAGTTTCTTAGACAAATCTTCGATAATCTTAGACAAATCTAATTACTATAAATCTTCTTAAATTTATAGTTAATTACTAGCTCAAAGTCAGGTATGCTACACCTTATTATGAACCACTATAAATTCAGAATATAGCACTTATCACTTGAAGCCTTTATTTAGAACTTCAGTTAAATGATAATCAACTTCAGCCGACAGAGAAGATGAGGAATAGAAGTGCTCAGAATAATATTTCTCTAATGTATAGTATTCATATATGCCTCTAACCACCTTTTCGCATTAGCTAATTTTCTCTTTCTCCAGAGAATACTTGATCTTAACAAACCTGAATGAAAGAAGACAGAAAAAATAGTAATAAGTAACTGGTTAGAAATTTAGAATAAATGTTACAACATATTAAATTTCAATAGTATAACTGCTATGATATCATTCTCACGTAATTGTTTCTTCCGTTTCGGATGATCTAAATTATATTCAGTTTAGATGAAATTATATTGAATCTAAATTATATTCAATTGTTTCTTTAGAAATATTGTACTGAAATAATTGACCCTGTGTTTCAAATTCCTCTAATATGAGAAAAATGGAACTTTTCTCCTTCCCTTTCAGCATCGGTCGAAGTCGGAGTCTCTCGATCTGTAAGTCTCTGAGCAATGTCTCTCAGTGTTTCTGTCGCTGAGCAATCCTGCAACTTACCTGCTTTTCTTTTAATTTCCTGCTAACTGTAATGGAAAGATCTAACAAACTAAAAGGAATTTCTCGCTAATCATCCCTCTTCAGTTTATGCACTAAAACGTTTACAAAAGTATTGGTTTGAGCTACCATTTTATATACGACATGACTAAAATTTCCATATAAAAAACAAAGTGATGAATACCATAGAGAAAGGATGGAAACTCAAACAATGTATCTAGTAAGACAATTATTACGCCAAATATCTCAGGTTCCAAGTATTTCTGTTAAGTTATGAAATCTGTGTTCCTTACCATTCTTAAAGGACCTTCTAACTCGGTTTAAGATATAAGTGATGGCTATCAAAGTGGTAAGGAGCGCTGGCATGACAAAATAACATCTGAAGGAAAAACGACATGATCTACAACGCTACTCCGCGTGTAGATAGACTAAATGAACTTTATTCGATAAGCAGAAAATACCTTTCTTCTAGTTCAGCGGCAAAAAAAATGTCATATCCTTTTGTGTAAGATTTTAGCAGAAAATGTGCAGCATTTGTCTTGAATGAGTCAGAAACCTGCCAGGAACAGATTCATGAATCTATGATTTCATAAAATACTTGATCAAAACTTTAACTTATAAAAGGTTAACATGGTATATCTGTTTAAGAAAATTACCTGATTTTATGAATTTGGATACAACCATGTTTGGGCTCGGAAATGAACGTACCTGAAGAAAACTAACAGAACATCGTTTGAAAACCTTTGTGCAAATTAAACTGAGATTTCTCTTAATCAGTAAGAAATTAATTAATAATAGCTAATTAAAATATAGCAGCTGAAAGTTTCTTTATTTGAGAGCATAATGCTTTGTGATAAATCTGAAATAGAGTTATACTGCAATGCTTTGGAGGAATAGTTATTTTATGAATGTGTGAGAAACATCCTTTAAATTCAAATAATTTACTGTTGAAAAAAATCAGTAATCCCTTTTTCATTTAATATCATCCTTTAATTAATCTGGTACGTATCGACGGGATTGCAGCTTCATTTTGTATCATTGCTTCCTCTCCATTTCTCTGTATACCTGTTTATCCCTTAATACACATTAATGGAAAAATCCCAACATCAAGAAGAAATCAGTTTAAGGAAATGAAATGAAGGCAAAGTATTTATCTATGTAACATATTTGTTTGATTAATTTGTCAAGATGAAAGGTTAAAGTATGCGCGAGAAGAGCCATTCCAAATGTGAAATGGGGGTGCATTAGTAATCGCTATAGTCGACATGATGTTGAAAGCAAGCATGCAAACGCACATGCATTGTGTCGTACAGATGCCGTATGTCATTTTGTGGGAGGGAGTTCCATGCCAGTTACACTTGCTCAGTAAAATAAACAAATATCTGTGCTGATAGTGGATGACACTGGATTTGTTGTCTAATCATGTCCCATAGATATTCGATGGGAGAAAGATAGGGTATCTCGCTCACTGGGTGGTAGCAGCGGTACTGGGACGAGCGTTATCCCGTTGGAAAATATCCCCTGAAATATTGTTCAAGAATGGCAGTACAACCGGTAGATTTACCAGTCAGATGTACAATCGTTTTGTCAAGATGTGTAGGGTACCAACGAGAGTGCTTCTCCTGTGATGAGAAACAGCTCCCCATATCATAACTCCTGGTGTAGATCCAATGTGTCTAAGCCGCAAACAGCTTCGTTCCAAGCTGGCTTTTTGCTAACAAACATATATCTATCACTGATGCCAAGACAGAAACGGCTGGCTATTATTTGAGAGCACCACAGATCAGATTAATCTGCCTTCTAATGAAACCTAGCTTGACGCCACCGAAGTCGCAGATGGCGGTGATTTGGAGTTAGTGGTTTGGTCTCTAAAGGGCTGCCCGAGGCCAGACGCCTTAAGTAATCAATTTGTCAAAGTTCGCTATGCCACTCTGTGGCCAGCAAAAAATCGAATGTTTTCTGCAGATGCAATGGGACACCCGCCAGACATGCTGCGAATATGGCAGTCTTCTCTTTGAGTGGTGGTACCTTCCCATGACTACTGCTGCCAAGACAAATACACAGTGGATACATCCCTGTCAAGACTTTCTACTATATCTGGAAAAGAAAATTCACCTTACACGGTCATTTTCAAACTCAGTAAGCTACTCATACTGCCTTCTTCGTCTCCTTAAAGGATTTCATCACTGAAATCTCGTTCACAACGCCCAGTCCGAAAGATAAATAAAGCATCCGAACTTTATATCACGTATTTAAAGCAAACGGGATTTGCATGGTTATAGTGGTGCTACTAGCGCCAAACTTTAGCATAGTGGCGCTATTAGCGTTCTAGCGTTCATGGTGCTTCTACGTTACTAGCGTTCATAGTGGCTCTACTAGCGTCGCTTAGAGCGAAACTTGAATAGACGTCATTTTTCAGATGAGCAAACATGCTTTCCAAATTTATTTTATATAACAAAACTCCTTCTTGGTGTTGTAATTTCATTTTACATCAGTATATACATAGTGAGAGAGAAAGAGAGAGAGATACAAATAATAGGTATACGCACCGTGTCCACAAAAAGCTTTAGCGGGCCTTTACTTTCACAAGCAAAGGTAGCACATATACTTCCAATTATTAACCCTTTAACTGTCAAGTTATTTTGATGATTGGGTACACAAATTGTCAAATTTTTTTATTGGAAAAACCAAATGTAGCCGAAATAAACATCTCCCGATATATATTCGGGTATGACAATACGATGCACTCAAAAAAAAAATTACCCCGAGAAATACTCGGGCGTGACATTTTCGAACACCAGTGCTGTGCCCGAGATAATCTCGGGCATGACAGTTAAAAGGTTAAAATGTTTTAAGTTACGGGAATATTCATGTTTGACATTTTATATATACCAAAAAAAAACTTGTTTTATAAAAATGATGAAATATAACTTTTCGTACGGTCCTCATGTTCATATATTTATATATAGAAAACTTTACACTCATTATAAAAAATAAAAAAGCAAAATGTTTGATTTCCATATAATGAAAATTCACCTAGATATACAATACTTGGAATATTTGATGTTATTTTAAACTTACCTTAACGAGGTTGTTGATAAATAATTTAGAATAATTCGAAACTGATTTTTCCTCCTTAAATGCTATTTAATGACATCCTTTGTGGTTTACTACTAACATTCTTAATTTATAATTTTGTTACAAACGGGATGCCAAAATTTATCAGTTTTCAACCCCTAAAAATACTTTGTTAATACTCTGATGAACTTTTAAATAATCAATAAAATAATAATCAGTGCTTTAAAATAATAATCAATGCTTTAAAATAATAATCAATGCTTTAAAATAATAATCAATGCTTTAAAATAATAATCAATAATCAAATAAATATTGCTTTAAAATAATAATAATCAAATAACCATACAAAAAATAATTTAAACTAGAAATATTTTAAATTTTTAATACATGCAAATAATGTTATTAGTTGGGTAATGTGCCAATACTAAAGTCTGCCAGTGTTTCCCAAAACACGAATTCTGTAAGATTCTGTGGAATAATATGTATTTTTGTGAAACATATGTATTGATCAACACTTTTTACCGCAATCTGCGCAGAAATGTTAGTTACTTCATCTGGTAATATCGGAAACTTCGTTTTCCAAACTTATATTTTTAGTTGGGTAGAAAAGCAAACATTTCGTTCTTCTGCTTGTGTACTGCACTGAATATGATTTCTAACTAATGAGTTTAAAATTTTCCTAAATATAAGTAAAGAAAGGGATAGGGTATGTATAAAACGTTAGATTTCGTAATGTTTACAGAAAGGATTTTTTTATTTTAAAAATGTCAAAACACGAATATTTGCTGCATTTAAAACGTTTTTGAAAGTATGTGTTTATGACCAGAGGTGATTGGTACTTTTCCGTTTTGTCGGCGCAAACGATAAAGTCGCTAATAATGGTACAACTGATGCCAAACGGAATATCTTCGCTGGTAATTTTTTACGCCTCATTTTCAAAACAAGTCGCAGCCATTTCTTACCAGATTGATTGTTTCTTTCAATACTGGCATACAATTACATAGAATATTTACAAAGATAATTGAATTTTATGCCCTAAGACCACTCGCGGCAATTGAGTCAATTAGGATGCAATCACACCGCTCACCCGAAGGCGAAAATATAGAAAAGGCAAAATCAAGGGTTAAATTCACAATTATATTGAGAATGCACTAGCGAAGTAAAGCACTACGGTTTTACATAATTTCTGAGTAAGCTATTCGTGCGAATTGAAATAATTCTTGCATTTACTTGTATTCCAAATTAAGATTTAACTTGAAATTAATATAGATAATTACTGAGAGAATTATATTTTTGTAGCGTAGTTTACGTGAGATGAGATCACTTAAGGTCACGTGATACGAACCGGCGAATCAGGATGTTGAACCATGATAGCATAGTAAATTCTTAAATTACAAATTTATTGTCTTTATTTGTTGACTTTTTACAAAATTATAAACTATATTAAAGTGTTTATGCCTTCAAAATAAAAAATTCTTAGAACTAACATTTGTTAACATTTTATATTTGTATTCTGTATGTTGTCGCCAACAAAGTCTGCTTGGCGAGATTTGCGCCGGCGAAACGGAAAAGTACCAATCATACATATACTGCAGATACATAGATCTTATGTTTCTGGATACTTTAACTTATTTGTATTTTCAATGAAAATACTAAAGGTGCTTACGCATTAACGCAACCTCATTGACGCAATTTGGCGATATTTTACAGATGAAAACGTAAAAGTTAGTTATCGGATGCACGTTTAGTGGTTTTCGCTCTTTTTTTAGAAAGATTCCCAAGCTATTGATATTTATCGTAAGTCGGTAAATGTTATTAACATAGGAAAACAAAACATACCTTAGCAATTTAAAACAGAAATTTGAATTAATTAAATAAGGATTACGTGATGCAGTAAAAAATAAAAACGCATTCTTCTTCAAAACTTCCTGTCATTTTTTTCTCGCTGTTCGTCTACCAAAGTACACAGTGATCTATTTTCGCTTAAGAAAATATCAGAGAATTGCTGGGACTCGGCTTCATGCAATCTTCGGCTACAGTGCCTATGAATGAAACATATTTCCTCCTTATTCTCTTTAGAAATTTTTAAGCCAAATTCTGTATTCCTGTAGAAGTTTTGCCGCAGTTTCCTCCGTTGCTGGCAAATTTCACAAGCTCACATCTTAAGACATATTTTAAGACTTTAATAAATACCGCGATTTGTTTATAAAAACCATCGAAACTTGGAATATAACAATAAATAAAGCATAAGAAAGTGGCGGCATTGCTTAACTGAAGGATCGTTATGAGCGGGATTATCGGAAGAATGGTTATGCGTGTGGTTGCCAGAGTTTGGCACCTCCTGAAAATTTGGCGATTTTTACTAAGGTGGTTGCGTTAATACGTAAGTACCATACTAAGCACATGAAAACTAAATTGAATCACTGAATCTTTCAATTTTTGGAAGGAATGTTACCCCATGTGTATGAATTTGTTTTCTAATATTTCTTCATAGTTTTGGAGTCACATCCGAAATGGTAGAACCGTTTTTAGAAGATTTTAAGCTAGAGGATGCTATAGCAGCAAAGAAAATCTTCATAGTCGACTTAGGAATCCTTAAAGGCATAAATTGTAAAGACGGTCGATTAGTAAGATATTTCTTGGTTCTTTAATTTTTAAATTGAAGTATGAACGTTATTATTTGTGTGATATTATGCAGTTGATATAAAATAATTTTATTCTTCTCTGTTGTTTAGTATTTAAGGAAATACACATGTGATATTTCTGATATTTATATATATTTTCTGATATTTATATAGTAGATGTAGAAAGTTGTTAAGTATAGATAATTGTGAACTATCAGATCCAAGTATTAGGTAATTTCTTGCATTTATCTATTCAAATGTCATCTTAAATGTATCTAACTGATACAAAATTTTCGTTCCTTATGAAAATAGCAAGAAATAAATCATAAAAATCTCAGCGTTTAATTTTTTTTCTCATTTTGTATAAGATTTTTACTAAGATTAATAAAAGAAGAGTTTAACAGAAATATACACATAATTTCCATGCATGTAAGACTAAACGCTGTTCAAAGCATTTATGAGAATAAATAAATGAAAACCAATAATATCCTTAAATGGGCTAATGAGTTTTTACTTCATAACGTTTTAATATATAAGCTTTAAGATTGTAATTTAAGGTCTCAACATATTTCAAAATGCAATCGAAAACGAAAGTAAAATTATGAAATAAAAAATGAAGCAACCGAGGTGATAAGAGTAACAGATCAAACTCTAAAATCCATCCTCGAAGCTCCTCTTTCAGCATCTTTCACTCTATAATCTAATTAGCATAAGGAATGATCAGAACGGTCTATTTAAAATACTTCTTGACGATTTGAAAAAAGAAAAAAAAAGTGTTACGCGAAAAATTACTCTGAGCATTGTGTAATTTAAATTCCTTTTCTAGCACTGTAAATTCTAAGCAATGTTTGAGATAATAATTGTACCTACAAAAGATTAAATGCTATGAGAAGCGTATCATGGTGGGACATTTTTATAATTCGCATGATTACGCTTTGGAATCCTGAAAATGCAACATTTTATAAATATTTAAAAAGGAAAAAAAAAAAAAAAAACATTTATCAAAATTTACGGAAAAGTAAATTCAGAAGCTTGTAACTCGACACATAAAATATATGAAATTTCTTTAACTTGGATGGTGAACCTTACGAATGCATTAATGTAACCTTACGAATATAAAATATCCTTTTCTAAACAATGTTTTCGTAGTAATTAAATGAGAACTCTTGCAAGTATTAACCACATACTTAACCATATACTGCAACATCTTTTAAAAATTTCGTGCTCTACAATAATGTTTACAGTATAATACCACAGCATTTAAAACAGTGTCCATTAAAAGTTAAAACAATATCACTTCAAAAGGTAAATTTAACAACGAAGTTAACTTAACGAAAGGAAAGTGCAGCATGTACGCAAATTTCGCGCACGCTTGCAGCCGCAATGGATAGTCTTGCAACGAGGTCCTCCAGTGAGTCAACGGGAGTCTCGTAAATGATGCACTTCAGATGGCCCCATAAAACATTCCAAGCTGGATAAATCTGGCGAACGGTCGAACGGGTCCACCACGGCCAATTCATCGGCCCGGAAATGTCCCATCCAAGTAATTACGGATCCGTGCGTGGTTATGGGCTGGTGCACCATCATGCTGGAACCACATGCGATCCCGAACGACAGCCGGAACATCCTGCAGCAATTCCATTAGCACCTCTTGCAAAAAAATATGATAACATAAGCCACTGGCACGTGCAGGTAAGAGGTATGGGCCTATGAGGTAGTCGTTAACAATACCCGCCCACACATTCCCGGAGTAGCAGGTTTGGAATGCATGTGGACGTGTGCCGTGTGGCTTATGAGTTGCCGACAGGTGCATGTTGTGGCTATGGGAGATGTCATCCTGTGAGAAAGTTGCATCGTCCGTCAATAGCACATCCGATGGGAAATCCGCCTGCGCCGCACACTGCTACAAGAACCAATGACAGAAATGAACTCGAAGAGGATAATCTGTCTCTTGCAAGGCTTGGACTCTCTGCAAATGGTATGGGTGCAAACCATTTTCATGCAATACTCTCCAAACGAGGGAATGACTCAGCTGCAGACGACGTGCAATAGCTCTTGTACTTGTCTGAGGTGATTCATGCACAATGTTCAAGATGAATTCTTCAATGCGAGGTTGTCGTGTGCTTCTGCTTCCACTCCTAGTGCCAGAGGTGGCTTCAAATGACCCGTTTTCACGCAGAGACCGATGCAACCTTCCGAACATTGTGTGCTTCGGCATACGCCTATTCGGAAACCGTTCCTGGTACAACCGTAGCGCTGCTCTGCCGTTCCCATTAGCAGCACCATACATGAGATGCATGTCAGCTTTTTACCTGTGCGTAAACTCACCCATCACACTCGACATCAGAGTTACGAATGATCCTCTGATGCATCGGATCGTGGTTTGTCCGGCTCACTACCGCCCTCTACCGCTGCATTGCTAGCCAATCACAGCTGTAGTTCCTATTATTGTTAGTGTTCCCTTTTTTGAACATTTATTGTGAATACTGTATTGCTGCAAAGAAGCACTTTGCGTTGATTTTGTACATAAACACATTTTGTACATAAAATGCATGTTTTAGTACGCTCCACCACCCCTCCAAGTTTGTCCCATGATCTACGAAACACCCTGTATACACCATAATTGCCGATCAGTCAAACCCACTAAAGATTATTTAGTATCTTTGAATGTTCTGTTTCTAAGGAAATGCGTTTACGGTTTCTATGTTTTCGTGATTTTGCCATGGGGTGGAGTAAGCTTCAGCCAATTAGCCAAATGAGAAGTTAGATTCTCACGAAAAGCTTTTCAGGATGGTGTCGTTGCCTAACGCAGATATCTTTCATGGGTTCTAGCATAACTAAATATCGACTTAGACAAAGTTTGGAGAGCTGGATTTTAGAGGAAGTTTTTCTAAATATTAGAAGCACGTCTAACATTGTTTACTGTTTACTGGGATTTTGTTAGGTTGAATAAATATTCGCAGCATTTTATAATTATTAAATCGCGTTAATTATTTAATCTTCATTTATTTTGTTTGCTTAGACTTGTAAGTTTAAAATAAAAAATTCTCTTTATATTTTTATATTTTTCAATGCTAATTTTCTCATCGTGGTATTTTTCTTTGTAGCTATGCGCACCTTTTGCTCTGTTCTACCTCAACAGGCATAAAGAGCTGATGCCAATTGCAATTCAACTCTTACAAGAAAAAAGTCCAAACAATCCGGTAAGACATATGAAACTTCAAGCGATTAACACTAGAATTACCCACGATTAATTTGCACCTATTTAAACAAATGAGAAAATTTTAATGGATTGGTAATTCTAGTGTCAGAGGCCGTCATTGTTTCAATCAATATATTTGTGTTTTCAGTACCTTCTGGTGTTAATTTTGCTAATGTTTTTAGAAATATCATTTTTTCGTAAAAAATAAATACGAACCAGTTAATTATGTCAGGCTTTATTAACTTATTATCTCATTTTCTAAGAATAAATAGCCATGGTATTTACATATATTGGAAAGTTCGCCTTAAATTAAAAATGACATTTATACTATTTTTGTATATAAAAAGCATCGTCCTTTAAGGCGAATTGTTAACATGAGACATAGAATTACAAATTTTCCACATTTTGACACATCATGACTCTTCTACTTTAAAATATAGTACATTTTTACCCTGGTGATGTTTGAAAGCCTTCTCCATTGCAAGTTGTTGTTGTTATGACTAATCTCGCTTGCCTGATATCAAAACAAGCCCACGAAATGCATCGTGGCAAGGAGGCAAGATTGCACCTGCCGTTGGCCTTGGGTACCGTACAGGTAACAGTACGACTTTGCTCAGTTTCATCTTCAATTTTGATAGAGAGCACCCCGGGGGAACGGTTCCGAGGGTCTCCCACACCCTCTTCCCCTACCACTAACTTCTCGAGAGGACCTTCGGCTCGCCGTATATTTTGAGTGCCTCCATGCTGCACAAAGACTATACATTTACAAACATCAGTACCTTCTTCGGGATTCAAACGCTAGCCCTTCGATACGACAGAGTCGCTTACTACTATCCCGATTGTGCGGCTCAACTGCGAGTAAATAACGCAACTAAGGGTATCAAATTTCAACAAAATGCAGTGACTCCCGCGGTTTCAATCAAAACAGACTGAAAAGGAATCCTTTTATTTCAATGGCCGGTACTATTTTCTGAATCAGTTTCGTGGAACATTTAGTTGATGCAGGACCTTCTGAGTACTATACTTGCCCTCTAAGTAAAGTAACTCCAGGATTTTGATTGTGAGCAATTTTTCATAAATTGCCGGAAATGATCAACTATGCGGATTAAGCATCTTCAAAGGTTTTTTTATAATTATCCAAGTTATTTTATTATTTCAGTTTCTGTTGTAAATTTCTACGTTCATCTACTTCCACCAGAATGCAGAACGCAAATTAGTTAAAATATAAATCGAGTTTTTAAGTGCATCAGCGAGCACTTGGCAGCCTATTCTCGCCGTAAATCTGTTTCAGTTTTCGTGATATCACAATTTAATTTAGCGGCGCAAATTTCCGCTAGTCGATATATCTTCGCGAGCATGTATTCAAGGACGAGCCGAGGTTTAACTCGAGCATTTTAATTTGTAACTTAGCATTTGATTCCTTTTGAACTTGCGGTTTCGGTTACCCGAAAAACTTAGTTTCTGTTAAACTTTTAGTTTACATAATCATTATGTCGACGTGTTAATGATAGTTTTATTTTTATTTAAGGACGAGCCAAGATTTACCTCAAACATTTTAATTTGTGACTTTACATTTAATATCTTTTGAACTTATGGTTTCGGTTACCCGGCAAAACCTTAGTTTCTGTTAAACTTTTAGTTTACATAATAATCATCAGGTCGACGTGTGAATGATAGTTTTATTTTAAACTTTAGTTGTGATGCTTGTAGTCAGCTATCAGACGAGAGTGAAAGTCACACGCAGTCTTCTAAGAATACTGGGAGATGAATCGACACTTTTAAAGTGTTTAAGGTGACAATATAATAAAAATTTAAGTACTTTGATATTAGTTTAGACTAGAATATGTAATTTTAAATATATGAACACTTTAAGCTTATGTGAATGCAATATAGCTATTTATTCGCAAGAGCTTCTTTACAAAGAGATTTCGTTAGAACAGTTGAAGCTTTACGTAATTATATCTATGAACATGAGTATGTTGAATGTCAGAATAGTATGTAGATAATTCAGTGCTAGAGAATTCGCCGATAATTCGGTTGGTTTCGTTCTTGATCCAAGTTCGACTTTCAGCACAAGTTAACGAGGTAATATTTGAACAAATTTTTGAACATGTCCTCCAGTTTATTGGGGATACATTTAAAACTGTTACGCAGATGCGAAACCTTTTCCTGCCACTAATTAAAAGTGAAAATTCTTCAGCACAAAATAATAGTAAGGAGAACTATAAAAACGTTTATGCAATTGATACAAATACGATTATACATTTTCAGATTTAAAATGCAAAATATGACTAATGTGAGACGTATAATGTTTTCAAATTTAAAACAGCGTGGGTTTTAATGATACATTAATATAAGATATTTTACTTTGAATAAACAAAGTATTGCCGGAATAGCGATTTTTAGATTTTATGTTAGGTATTATGTATTGTTTGAGTATAAGATTTAATTTTACTAAATCTTCATATCTTTCTTCACATATGGTATCTTATTTTGTGCTCCTAGGTTTAAAATTTTTTCTATTTTTATTCGTATTGTTTTCATTAGCAATAGTTTTATTTCAAAGATAATGAAATTTCATAATTTTGAACTTGATGATCATAATTAAGTCGCGATACAAATTAATGTTTTGTACTTTACCAAATTAAGAAAAAACTGATAAGAATGCTTCATGAATTATTATCTCTCTGTTTTTATTGTCTCTTTCTATATTTTCTTTTTATTTCCTAGGTGTTTTTGCCTAATGATCCTCCACATACGTGGCTTATGGCAAAAATATTCTACAGCAACGCAGATGCTAGCTATCATCAGTCATGCACACATTTAGGTATAACTATTTATTCCTCATATGTATTGCCTTAAAATTAAGGTGTTGGCTTAAGAATAAATCCATAATTCCTATTATACATACTTAAACAACACTTTATGTCCAATATCAGAACAATACCATAAAGTTAAATCCAGTTGCTAGCATTAATATGCTTGGAAGGTTTAAAATTAGAATTTTTAGCCTGAAAGCGTAGATCAGTTAAATTTCTTCATCTACGTTTTAATGGTTTTTACCACAATCACGAGCATTTTAATTTGTAATGTACATGCATACATATACGTGTACAATATATGTAACTAGCTGAGAAAATATCTAATGCTCAGAATATACGAACTGCAGACTTTATACACAAAAGACTGAAATTCGAAAGTCAAATCAAAATTTCGAAAAATCAAATCACAATAATGAATTTCATCACATTGGTAAAGATAAATGCACAGAAGTCCAAGTTCAACCTACTTTCAAGAGACCAATATGATATGTGCATTCAAATAAAAAGAAGTTTTATAAAAATATTTTAGTGATATGTGTTAATATAGCAAACCAATATATTGTTCAAGCATAGGAGAAAATAAAGTCTTGGAGAAATATGAGTTTTCCACGTGTGATTCAAATTCCAAATTATGACTTTTTCTCAAAATTTGCAAACTGAACATTAGCCATTTTCTATCAAGGTACTTTCTACCACCGTACCTAGGTAAATACATGTATATATCCAAATATATCTATTAGTTTGACTGTTTAAATAATATTTAGATTTACAGAATATGTTTATGTATTTTTACTTATTTTCTTACGTAGATATGTAAAATACTTTAGCAATTCTGAAAGTAACTGTTTATGAGCGCATATATACGCGGGTTGGAACTTTAACAGGGGCAACCCAGATGTGTGCGCACCACAAAACGGAACCAGTTCTTCTGTTTATACCACATGTTAATGTTACAAACTATCTGTCTCACGATAGATGGATTACAATGTAACATTTTATGTGTAGGAATTTCAGTGTATGTTAATGCTCTAAAATGGTTGTAGCCACGGTATTTGGAAATAAGAACAGCGAAGTTGATGGTAAACCTCAAGGGCAGACTGGCATTTTTAGTGCGCAGTATTACTTTTCATTTTTGAAAACTATTGCAAAAGAAGCAGCAACAATTTCCGAAAATGAAATTAACCTATGACCACTATTGCAAAAGAAGCTGTTACATTTTCTGCAGAATTTTCCCAGCATTTTGTAACACAGGGCCTGGATTTATGTAGCGCAAACTCTTGCTGATTGCTTTGCTAAATTGTGTCAAGACTGCTCTTGTAACCGGATAGAATTAATAGTACGTGTAACCCTTGATAACCGTATTCTGTTAGTTTGGAAAAAAAACAATTTTTGATATAACTAATAATCCTTAGACTCTGTGAGTATAAGATTCTTAAGATGAGGGATCACTTCGAGGCATTCCACAGACTCTTTAGACAACACGCCGTTTCATTCGAACCAGCAGTAGAATAATCACAGCAACATACAGGGTGACCCAAAAGTAAGTACCTATTTTGTGAAATCAGACACTTTTTAAAAAAACTCAAGTCTTAATGTTTATCATGTTGAAAATGAACTAAATTTCATTAAATTATATTTTCGTATGTATCGGGTGTTACGAACTCAATAGAATTTTTATTTTGTTTTTATTCATTTGCAGAATTCTTAAATAATAAATTCAGAGTAACGAAACTTCTTCTTCACATCCCGTATTAGAGGGTCCCACCAGCAGCCGAGCGCTAACGTCTCTAAACACTGGTAGTTCGACCTTGGATAGAAACCGGCGAATGGGCTGTCTGCATGATTTCTTTTCCGTGTTAATTTCCCATTTGTAACGTAGATCCAGTTTCCCTTAAAGTATCCTCCACGAAGACATCACTCCTCCCAGGCAGATAGCTCTCGGGTTGCTTTTCCCTAATCAATTAACCTAACTTAACCATATCAGAGGAATAAAACTGAACGAAGTAAGAGAAAAATTTCAAAGAAAATTTAATCAACTTTAACCTAGAGACACAACGATTCGAACTACTGAAAAATTGAAAAGAACTGGATCCGTATGTAACAAGATAAGAAAAGGATGGTCAAGGATAATAATAAAACTAATAATAAATAATAAAACTGAACAAATTCTACAATTGAACCAATCACTTCGGTTAGGAAGGTGATGCTTTTGACTCAAAATGCTTAAGACAACAGTTCTCAGTCTTGCGTTCAACGCTTATAAAAAAAGATTTATCACATTTAGTTACTACATTCTATTCATGCAGAAGGTTATCCAAAGTTGCGCATAATTTGTTGAACAAATGGAAATTAAAAACCTGTTAGGTAACATCAGCTTTTGGAACATCCTGTACATTCAAAAATAATATTTTTAATACACTTTTAGCACATTCTAAACATGTTAAACATGAATAAACTTGAGTTTTTAGGAAGCTTCCCGATTTCACAAAAATTTTAGGTGCTTACTTTTAGGATACCCTGTATATAGTGGAGCTTCCATACCGTTAGCAAAGAAGCATAAATAAACTAACAATAACGTATAAAGACAATTAACGTTTCACAGAAGTATCTCTTTTGTGTGATTCGCAAATAAACAGTTTGCAACTATTATAGTTCTAACCCATATGTATTACATATGTATGTGCTCGTATATATACACACACACTGTGTCCCCACAAGTCCTTACGCAGTGTTTCTTTTTGCAATCGTTGATCGTAAGCATATACTTTCAGATACAAAAATGTTTTAAATGACGAAGAGATTCATGTTTTGTCATCCCTAAATTTTCAAAATTTAATTTTAATAAAAGTTATAAAATTTAACTTTTATACGGACTTCTGTTCCATATTTAAGAACATTTTATACTTATTATCGGAAAAAAAAAGAAAAAGATTGATTCACATAGGTCAAAAATTGATCGGATTGTTTAACTTCAAAATTTAGAATATTTGACACCAACTTGCTTTGAAGGGCCGGTTAATAAATAAATTAGAATTATAAGGTATTTCTTCCGCCTTCCTAGCGTACTTTCGTGGTGTAGTGGTTTTGCACGCTAGGCCGGTATTCCAGAGGTCTGTGGTTCGATTCCCGGCGAAGGTGATTGATCATTTTAAATCTTGTTTGCTTCCAAAAAATACCTAATGTCTCTAAAGTGGCGCCCGAACTAAAAGGGTGTTGGATGATGATTCTCCTTACACAGGATTTGGCGATTAGGTCCCCTAAAAACCCCAGTCGCCCTTTAAAAAGGGAGTATTAAGGTATTTCTCCGCTTCCTAGTGCTTCGTGGTGTAGTGGTTCTGCACGCTGGGTCGGTATTCCAGAGTCCGTGGTTCGATTCCCGGCGAAGGCATTTGCTAATTTTTCATCTCTTCTGCTCCTAAAAAATACCTAATGTCTTCACAGAATAATTCGAGATTGGTATTTTCCTTTTCAGTGTCGTTTGGTGATATTCTTTTGTGGTTTACTTAGGTCCCAATCACATTATGTTTCGGCTACGCGAGACTTGACGTCGAAAGGGACAACTCTCAGAACCCGCACAATTCCAGGAAACCCACGTAGCTAGGTTACCATTTTTACTTACTACAATGACTTGAACGCCAAACAGTAATCGATTATCTCTCAGACTGGGATGACGTGATGCTTCAGAAGCAGAACTTTCGTCTGATTAGTTGTCTCTACACGGGACAGAGGTTCAGCCGAGACATTTTCGGTGAGGTTTGAAAAAAAATCCCACGTAGCCGTAACATTGTTTCCGTAGCTTGGCGGGACTTCGCTTCAGGCGGGGGCTCTTTTTTTCTAGGAATCCTCCCGTTTAATCCAGTGCTACCAGAATCGTATATCTCAGAAAAGTCCCGTCTATCAGGGACTGTGTGATAACCTCTTTAGTGTGCAATATTCCTTAAATACAGCTGGTAGGCGGAAAGAATTTTCCCACAATTAATTTATAAGTTATAAAGCTAAAAATATGCTATCAATATTCTCATGAAATTTAATTGCCTTGAAGTTGTTATGAAATAATCATACAAAAAATTTATTGAAGTAGACATATTTTAAAAACTTAATTGGTACAACTATTGCTATGAACTATTGCTACGTTCATGTGCGAATACTAAAGCTTACCGGTGTTTCCCTACAACACGAATTTCATGATTCTCTGTAGATAAGATCTCTTTAAGGGGGTATAAGGTATTCCTCCCGCCCTTTTAGCATCCCTTCTTAGTGCAGTGGTCAGTACACTCAGCGTGTATTCGAGAGGTCAGAGGTTCGAGTCCCGGTGAAGGCACTGTTCCTTTTTCATCTCTCCTGCTTCCAAACAAATCCTAGTGTCTCTACGGGGGTGGGGAGTTGTATTGATCAATATATTTCACGATAATCCACACAGAAATGCTTAATTAATTTGTTAACACCGGCGAACTTTTTTTTAAATCGTATTTTATTCTTAGTTACGGACAAATGCAAGCATTTTATTCTTCAATTTTCGTACGATCCCTGAATATGATCAACAAATTTAAGGTGTAACATCTGTGTCAAGTACGAGAACAAACTTGTTACGTTTTATTTGTTACATGAATATAAAATTTTCTTAAAGAAACCAGGGCAAAGTATAAAAAGTTAGATTTCATATATTTACAAAATTGACTTTAAAAAAAAAAAAAATCCACCAAAATGGGAATCTTTGGCGTTAGATTAGATTGTGAAAAGGCTGCGTATGGACTATGTGGAAACGGTATATATGTATACGCTATAAGGCAGTGTTTCTCAGCTGGATTTTATTCCAAAGACCGGTAAAATATTTCGGTACGTTCTCGCGGACCAGTAAGTTTAATAATTCGGCCCACTAGCGCAATTTTTGGACAGATAGCTTGATATTTCGGGGATCGGCAAATATTTTTTGCGGACCGGCGGTTGAGAAATATAGAGTATATAAGCTAAAATAACTATTAAATAAAATAATTACAAACCATTCCGTGAAATAAAGGGCGTACTAAAATGTGCAGTAAATTTAATAGAAATGATACAAAAAGGGCAGAAATGTTATAACCTTTCTAGGGAAGCTAGAATTTGATACACTAAAGTAAGAGAGGAAAAAAAAAATAAAACAGTAACTAGATACAGCAAAGTGTAAAAGCACAGAATAAACAAAAGAATTCAAAAAAATGAAACGAACTATTACCTACGGCGTCATATCGCTTTAGGTGGAGGGCGATTGCATTATCTGGCTCTGTCTATCAAATTCTGTCTGTTCTGAAAACATTGTTTTACCTGTCCAACCTATATAACGTAAGAAAAGTAAAGTTTTCTGTTCAAAAATTCAATAGTAAGTTTCCAGTGATTAAGCAGGAAACAAGGTCCGCACAACTCGCTTTGGCTGTTTTGACAATGTTATCTCTCTATTTGTGCGTCTATATGTGTGTCACTATCTTTTCGTCCATGGTAACTCTTGTATAAAACTACCAAAATTTTCTGTTTTGCGTATTTAAGCTTTCTACACTCATATAAAGAGCTGATTAGATTTAGGGTAGAAATGGGCAACCGGAAGTGGTACTTTACTTGAAGCCCATAATAGATTTAATGAAAACATATATCAAAATATAATCCAAAACTTTTCAATTTCAGTATTTAAGGACTTTTGTGCATTCAATGGGAACAACATAATTAGATTTTGCCTAAAATTAATTAGCCGGATGTGATACTTTACTTGAGAACAGACTTTCGTTAAAAAGCATATTATGAGTTAAAATACATATTAGACTTCCGTTAAAAAACATATATACAAAACTTCTCATGTATGGAATTTTAAATACGTACGCGATTAAGAACAACATATTACATTAAATACCTTTTGGTATTACACAAAATGCAACGAGAATAAACTGATTATGAAGAAGCAGTTAAATGTATTAGCTTCAATCCTCAGTTATGTGTTCGTTTCAATTTTGTGTCGATTTTGTGTTTTTTAAGTAAAAGGATGTTGCCAACGAATGTTACTGTTATGTAGTATTATTTTTAAAGGAATAATATAGCAAATATAAATAATATAGCGGATATATAAGTAGGGCAGCAGTTAACACTCAACTGGGAATTCTAAAGATACTGCGATTTTAAAGATTTTGTGCTTTTGTTGCTAAATTTTCGTGAGGCTTAAGTGCTAAAAAAGTTATGCTAAAAAAGCTAAAATAACAAATAAAAATGTTGGTAATCTTATTAAGAAAAGGGAACGCTAATAATGTAAACTGAGAAATGACTGAAAAAGAAATGTATGGCAACGCATAACACCCTATCGGGAATTCTAAAGATGTGCTGCTTTTAAAACCTTTGTGATTTAGTGATTGATTTCTGAATCCAAAACACTCCGATGACTAGAGGATACGCTACGATCGATGCAATATTTTCAAATTAAGCATGAGAAAGAATGTGTACATGAGCATATATAGTTATCATTATCCATTGTATGTTGGAATAGAATAGTAAAAAATGTGTAGTTTTTAACACAATGAGCCATAGAAATTTATAAATTAGATTTATTTACCAAACGATCAACCGGAAGTGGGAGGCCATGTGCTAAAAACATCACTTTTTTGTATTATATGTAAGATATACGATAGCTGCTTTAAAAATAATTGGCGACCTCAAAATTAATGATTCTATATTTGGTACTCTCGCTCTAAATTCAACTGTTCTCCCAAATTCGAGATCCTTCCATGATTATATAATAACATCAAATTAACCAATCATAGCTTGTCTCTGCAATTACATCACACTTACTATAAATACTCTCTTGGCACAATAAACTACGTCATTCTTCCATTCCTTTCCTTAGCTTCTGCCATTGCTAACATATTTTCTATGCTTGTCCGTCTAAAATGATGTCGCCACCGTTAACCAGCGTATATATGAAATTATCGTAATTACAGAGTGTATGATTATAGAGTTATATTGTCTACGAGGAATCATTCTAGTGTGCTTGAAATAAAGATGATAATTGGCTGAACTTGGTTTCGTATCAACTTCTTCCTCACGACTGCAAGCTGATGCCTCCTACGCAGTAAATTATGGTTATTATATATATATATATATATATATATGCATACACACGCATACAGCATGTCCACAAAAGTGCTTACCGAGCCTTCATTTTCGTAAAAATAGAAATATAGACTTTGTTGATATAGTTCGTAGATACTTCGGATTGCAAAATTCTTTTAAATGACGCAAAGATTCATGATTCTCCATTTTTAAACTTAAATAAATCAGGATTTCCTGACTTTATGAACACCCTATGTAATCATATACATAATAATTAATATTAGTTATGCTTTACATGTGATGGAGTCATCCAAGAGTATTTCAGCAGTTAATAGTTGCTGTGTTCCTAATTTGTTTTTCAGCCTTATTAGTTGCATATTATTTAACTTTCCATCCGCATCTCTGATTTCTAAGTAAAAGAATGTCAATACTTTTTACTCTAGAACTTAAATATTTTGCATATTATAATACTGATAACAGAAAACTTGAAAACACTGAACACACTCTTCACATTTTAAAGATTTAATTAATATCCTCATAAAACAAAAATTGTTTAATTAATAATATTATTTATTAAATTTTGTTCACAAATATCTTATCCGGCTTTATTTCCGCAATTGCTGGTGGTATACATATACTCCTATCACAAAAATATCATGAATAACGCAAATATCCATACTTTAGCAATTTAAATTTTAAAAATAATAAGAGTAGTTTTGGAAAAATTGCGAAATCTTAAATCTTTACGCGTTCCTCCGGTCTCTAAACTTACATTTAGGAAAATTTTGTACTCGTTATGAAAAATAAAATACAAAACTTTTTGACTACCATATAACAAAATCCCACCAGCGGCCGAACGGAAAATCGCTGAATACTCGTAGTTTGGTCTGGGTTTCGAATCCCGTTGAACAGGTTGATTGCATTGGCGTTTTCGTGATTTTCCCCAATTGTAGCATGTATACAAGCCCTTAGAAAATCCCTTAGAAATCACTTAAAATTTTCCCTTAGAAAATCCTCCACGAAGGAATCCCTAATCTTGACATAATCAAATAAACACAGTCAAAACACGTATAACAGAAACTGAATTGTATGATGTATGTAAATATCTTTGAATTTTAACATTTCTACACAGAGGAATTAAAACTCATTTGTGTTTTCCAGTCGCACAGGTTATTTCTTATAAATTTGCATGGTGGTGCTGTGGTGGTGGTGTATTGAGAATACGTCAAAGCCGATTAGGGCTATCTGCCGAAGGGGAGGGATGCCTTCGTGGAGGACTTTCTAAGAAAAACTGGGCTCGTATACACGTTACACATGGGGAAAAACCACGGAAACGCCCATGTAGCCAGCCCTTTCGCGGGATTCGAACCTCGGACCGAACTACCAGTTTTCAGTGATTTTACCGCTCGGCCGCTGGTGGGCCTCTTATAAATTTGCATTCCGCATTGTATTTACGTGGTTGTTTTTTCACATTATCTTGGTATATTTCATAATTTGTAAGCGATTGTTCAAGTAATTCCCTCGTCACCTTTAATTAATGCTATGTGGCTTTCTGTTTCGCATATTTGGCAATGAAAAAAATTTTCATCAATGACCCTTCTTTTCTGACTCAGCCAGGATAAAATTAAATTTCATATGTTTTTACTAAAAGGTATCGCGTGACCAAAATTATCGTATTATGGAAGCCTGTTTTCTTGAATTCATTTCTCAGTCTGCAAGCATGGACCCAGGACCAACCGTTAGTGCATGCAATCTTTCTAAAACACACTGCATACTTAAAGTGTCAATTTTATTTATCTTTTAACTAATTTGCATTTAACAGCCAAAGAAAATACAAATTAAAATTGTTTCCTTTAGTTAATGTGTTGTATTTATTTTAGCCATTTGTTTTATTATTTAGGTTTCACTCATTTATTAATGGAAGGCGTTGTGATATGTACGCACAGGAATTTGTCCCCATCACATCCCCTGTATAAACTCTTAGCACCACATTTCCTTTTCCTCTTGGCTATCAATTCGTAAGTATAAAAATATATTATTCAAAATCTAATTTAAAAACACTTAATCTTAGTTCATGTGCTAACATCGCATTATAATCTTGCAAGTGACACATTATGAGCATTCATTGTCCGAGTTAAACACTACACAATTTCTTATCTAAATCCTTTTAAGTCCTTAAAATGGGAACATCCACTAAAGTAACTTAAAAGTATGATTATATTTTCATTAACTTAATTATTTAAACAAAACAATCTGCTTCCAGATGCCGTATTAATAGAATATGAAACAGATAACTAAACGACAGTTACTGTCCTGTCTAGACATCTGGAATGAATGAAAACGCTGGAAAATACATTAATTTGTTTAATTATCCAATTTTTGAGGAGCAGGACCATCTACTTTGTCTTTTAACTAAAATGATTAAACTTTTAAGAAACTGCCACTGCGCTATTTGAATGCTGACTTATCATACTTTGCATGCTGCATATTTAAGGAATGGAAATGTTAGTTTAAACTGTTCAGAAATATAATAAATCATTTAAAATATATAATGTGAAAAATGACATCAATTAAATTAAGCACTGAAATAGGAACATTTGCTTCAGAAATATATGAAATTCCGTTTACCACGTAGAAAAAGCTTTGCTGTTTTGTATAGCAGTTGCACATATGTTAAGCTGATACCGAAATTAAAATGGTTTGATGGTCGGGAATATTTGTATTTGGTGGTCTCGGTTGGGTAAGAGACTGTGTCGGACTTCTTAGAGAAGACTATTAATAGTTATTTCTACCTATATTTAATACATGTTCTCAGAAATTATTATTAAAACAATTATTAAAAGTTATACGCTTTAAAGTTACATGGGATAATTTCCAAATTGTTAAGTTAATACCTTATTTTCTTTTATTCTCTTTAGGCGGGGTCTGGACAAACTTATTTCACCAGGTGGTTGGGTGGATAAAACTATGACCCTTGGCCGAAAAGGAATGTTTGAACTCATCAAAAAAGGGTAAGGTTCCGTAATGTATGGTATGTAAACTGCTTACATATATACACAAACAGTATACTTACACTGTTTACAATAAAAATGCAGCATCATGAAAACAAGTAATATAAAAATTTTTTTTTACGTCTATTCCTACTTAGGTCAACAAAGAAAAATTTTTTAAATACAAAAAAACAAATTTTTAATAAATAAAAATAATATTTAAATAAAAAAAAATTTAATTACAAATTTAGCAAATTTTTAATATGGGAAAAACTGTATTAACATCAAGTGTCATCCACTACAAGTTTAAAAAAATGTATTTAAACTTGAGTGGACGAATAAAAAGTATTTTATTAACGACTGAAAATTTGAGCAAATATAGGGAGAGTGTGAGCTAATAGTAGGAATTTAAAAAAGCATCCCGCGGGCTTGAATTTTGCACCAAGCGTAGACCTCGATATGATATGCAAATGATTAGCATGGAAGAGCAATGCAGATCTTCTCCTCTAGTAACGCCCGCTAGAAGTACTATCAAAGGCCAGAAGAGTAAGCTATTTCGAGAAGTCGGTATAAGTGTTCAAAACTGACTCCGTTGATATTTAAATATTTATTTATTCGCCAGTTAAAAATATCTAAGTACAGGAAAGAAACGTATCATGGTGATACAAACTCAAAGATCAAACATATAATTATTGTTGTTCCGGGCTTATCGTTACTATGGCAACTCGTTACTATGCGATAAATTTAATTGTTGCCACACTTTTTTTAAGTACTGTGTTTATGTGTTTTCTTCAAGCAAGTTTTTGAGATTGAATGAGGAAGAATCATGGCTCACGGAAACTACTTATAGTCTTTCCAAGAAAAGGGCTTGTATTTGAGACACACCGACCGACGGGAGCAATTGCACCACCACCGAACGAAAGGACAAGCATGTTATGCCCATGATCCTATTGTAACATAAAGATCCCTAGATTAAGAATTAGGATCTGTTGCATAACAGGCTGTGTCTGCACTTGCCATTCCACATTATTCGCAGAGGAATGTGAGGAAGCGTGGACTTACGTACTCCAAGCACATATCCAAAGTCTCTTTCTTTCTGTCCGGAGCTGTTCGCAGTAATTATTGCCAGCAGTGGCGACTATATAAAACTTGCGGAATACTTCGTGTTCCGCAAGTTGAATGAGGCTTTAATTTTGATTAGATCACCCTTGTACCATATGTTATTTATTCAGTAGATCATAACGTTGATATTATGTTCTGCATGTTGCACCATTATGAATGGCCAGCAATGAACTATACTCAAATATATAACGCTGCAAACCCTGTGAACAAAACCCCGAATAGTTAAGGAACTAGCAGAAAAATAAAGGAGAATATATTTTCGGTTGAAGAAGAACTTTAACTTAATTTTTAAAAATAAAAGGAAGTATTAAAAAAAACGCGTTATTTATGGGATGAACCAATAATTTGCTAAAATTTCCAAGCCTTGTCTCTCCCATGTTGTTTTTCTTAATTTTTTTCTTTTTTTCTTGAAATATAATCGAAAATTCTTCAATATATCGAGAAGTTAAAAGTAAGTAATGTAGATGTATGAAGTTTTATTACATAAGTGAATTATTTAGAACGTTATCTGAATATTTATTTTCCGGAAGGTACTCTTTTGAACTCCAAGGCAAAAAGAAAAAAAAAAAGATTCACGTAGAAATTTTTGGAGATTAACCTCTTTCCAAAAGTGAATATTTAGCGTTAAAATTAAGAAAAATTATATAACTACTTAATGTAGAATTTAAAACTACTGGCAAGAAAAAAGAAAGAAAAATATACGACCTCTGAATGATTCTAGCACAGAGTTTCTTAAACTGTCGGTCGCGACCCCCATGGGGGTCGCGGGACCTGCAGCAGGGGTCACCAAAAATTTTAGCAGTTTTAATATTTCTGGGATTTGCGCAATGTTTATGGGGTTCCACAAAATTTTCATAATTATTATGTGGTCCTGGGGTCGCGAAAAAATCTCAGGGATAAAAAGGGGTCGCGACTGAAAAAAGTTTAAGAAGCCCTGCTCTAGCTGATAAAAATATTACTAAATAAAAATCTAGATAATATGACTAACTAATTTTTAGTCACTAGATAAATTTCTTTAGAACAATACCTAAAACAATTAGAGAACCTTATAAATAACTTAAAATCACAAGCTGTATAAAAACTAGATAACGCAAATGTCTATGTCTCCAAAGTCACAAAGATTGTGCGTAAAAATGTACACTCGTGTGCAAAATTAGAAGAATTTGCCCATTATGTCGAATTTGTGAAAAACTAATGGGCAGATGGTTAATACAATTTGATTTCGATATATATATTTATAAAAGAGAATGAGATGTACTGTTCAAAAGTCATTTTAGGTATGCATGATTATCAGTAAAGCACATAGTCCTGGAATGTCCAAAACCCATGTTGTGATATCGAATAAGTCTAATATAAAGTATAGCCCACTTTCACAGCCAGTCGGGTCGCGCAGCATTACGGCAGACTGGGCAGGAGGTAGTTGATGTGTACCTGTGGCAGTCGATCCCACTACTGCAGCAAGGCATTTTTCAACTCAGATGTGGTTCTAGGAGAGGGGTGGTGAGATGAAATTACCTTCCCAAGAGCATCCCATATATGCTGTATAGAGTTAAGGTCAGGAGAACTGGCTGGCCAACCATGTGGCGAATATCCTTACTTCCCGGATAATCGTTGACCAGCTGAACCCTATATGGGCGGCCGTTGTCTTCCATTAACAGAAACCCAGTATCAACTGCGCCCCTGAAAATTCGAACATAGGGCTCTAAGATCTCTTCTTCATAGCAGGCAGGCAGACTTTGTCAAACCAATGCAGGGGTGTGCTGCTGTCCAACAAAATGCAGGGGTGTGTGGCTGCCCAAATCATTAAACCTCCACCACCGTAATGATCCTTTTCCTTCATGAGGGAAGGGATGGTATCGGGTTTCAGGCACTCTCAGGTACGGGTAAGCCAAACATATGAGTGCAGGCTGAATCTCGACTAATCTGTAAGAAGCACGGTGCTCCACTGAAATCTGGTCCGAGGCACATGTTGCTTGCGCGATGCTAAACGCACTCTCTTGTGTGCTGCAGTGAGGGGGACGCAAAATGCGTGTCTTCTGGCATACAGCGTTACCTCATGAAGCCTTCGGCCAACTGTAGACCGTGAAACTCGGGTTCCAGTGGCAGCATACAGCTCAGGTGAGAGTAGTGAAGCTGTAGTAGCCCTGTGTCACAAAGCTGAAAATGCCGAATAACGATCCTCATTCTTCGTTGTGAATCTTGGTCGGTCTTGCGCTGGTTTTCTCGATATGGATCTGTTTTTCTGAAACTGTTTCCACAAATTGCAGATGATAGTGAGCGTTTCCTTGAACTCTGTAGCTACCTGCGTTTGTGATTGGCCTACTACCAGTATACAGACAATTTTCATTCCGTCATCTACGTGGTTATTCGTATTAGCTGATACCTTATAAAATTTACACATTACTTGCGAGAAAAACGCGCGTTAGAATAAAAGCGTACGATGAATGCGGATTATCATATCATATTATCGCGTCTGCGGATTATCATATTCCAGTTTGCGTTGGTCGAAATCCGAGCACTTCAATGTGAATATAGAACCAATGGCCCCACGAAGGATGAATTGAACGACATATAAACGTAGGCTCACAACGATTTCGACGCACCAGCCCCACAATGAAGGCAAATACATTGCACGAATGGCCTGTACGAACTGTACAGTTCACGTCACTCGCCCTAACATATAGCATACGGTATGAGGTCCAGTAAAAATCTGTCTGCATGTACTGTGAAACGTCATCTTGAAGATTGCAAGGTATTTCTCCCGCCTTCTTAGAATGCCTTCGTGGTGTAGTGATCAGCACACTTGGCGCGTATTCGAGCGGTCCGTGGTTCGAGGCCCGGCGAGGGCATTGCTCATTTCTTCAGTTTCCTGAAATTTAAAAATTCTAAGTTACTCTACAGTGGTGCCCGAAATAAAAAAGGTAGTGGACGATGATTCTCCATCACCAAGATTTGGCGATTGTTTCCCCAAGTCGCCCTTTAAAAGGGGGCATTATATAAGGTATTTCTCCCGCCTTCGTAGTGTAGTTGTCGGCACACTCGGCGCGTATCCGAGAGGTCCGTGGTTCCAGTCCCGGCTAGAGTATTGCTCATTTTTCATCTCTCCAGCTTTAGAAAAACCTAATGTTTCTACAAGATAAAGGACTATTCGTCCGGTGACAGTCCGGTGTCAATCTTTAATGGAATAGTATAGGCGACTGCTACTACAACGGTGCTTTGAAAAACATGTATAGAAGCATGACTTCCGTTTTCTCAGATCAATCTCATTGCAATCTGCATGAAACATAGCAATAATCGTGTATGCATATGACGTCACCGTAGAAAGGGTTTATTGCAATCTTTTTTTACGTATCTCCATATACCGGCCCGGCACCAGGAATTGTGGTATGGGGTGCAACTGGATGGATGTCCTGCTCGGGTGTAGAATGCATATCTGGCACTCTGACCAGCTAGTGTTGCATTACAGACGTAATAAGGCCGGTGCCTCCAACAGGAAAATACGTCACTGTATTTCGCACTGAACTTCCACTACATCCCCGACTTAAGCAGGTTACGAATCTGCTTTGGCCAGCACGTTCACTATTTGGTCTCCTCCATCTGCAACAGGTAAACTCTGGAAACATATTATAGCTGCCTGGAGTGCAGTATCTCAGACTGCCGTTCAAAACCTCTTCGATTGTATGTCTTTTCATGTATGTTTCCTGTTGCAATTTTAATAGACAGCAATATATTGTTACGAAACGTATGGGTACGGTAAGATAACTTTCCCGCAAAGCAGGTTTAGGGTTGCCAGAAAATGACAAGGGAAGGCAGGGTTACCACATTTGGCGACGTGCCATGGACGGATGGGGAACCTTCTGGAACGAATTCTTACCGGATTAGCCCAGAATGTTTTCGAACAAAAGGCAAAAGCTATATAAACCCTGCTGGCACGCGGAGAGTCAGTTAGTGATTCGTCTAAAGAGCTGATAGTCAGTTATTGAGCGAGTGTCTCGAAGTTTAGCTCCGAGTTGGTCGTCGAGTGCACCGAGAGAGTCTTTTAGTGTATCGCGAGTTAGTGCATCGTCGAGTTTGTCTTAGAGTGTGCTGAGTCGAGAGCTGTACTCTTGTATATCGTCGAATGCATCGCGGGTTGTAGCGTGGAGAACTTCGAGAGTACGTGGAGTTCCGATAACAACCGAGGAGAGTCGGGAGCTGTAATCCGGTGCTTTGCCGTGAAGCTGTCTTCACCGTTATAGCCTGATTTCCTGAAGGCTGTGTCGCTGATTGTTACAGCTTGTCTATAGTAGCTCTTCGACGACTTTAAACGTGATTTGGAGCTGTCCTGATTAATATTGGCTAAATAAAGTGTGTTTCGATACTTCATCAAGTGTCGTCGTTATTCACTCCAAATCTACAAACCCCGTACGAACGTGAAGGAAGAAAATAACGCAACAATGTACATCGAATATACATTGGATCACAGTGATCTTTAAAAACTGATCTTCTTAAGAGTACGAACAACTTTACGTTGGGTTATCCTTGTGAACTTTCCTATTTCGGCGATGAATGAGTGATTTTGCGTAAAGATGGCGGCAATTTATGGCGGTGCACTGTTACGAAGTCTTCTCGTGACATTTCTGAGATAAAACACGGTACCAAACTTCATTTAATGTTATGAATCGAAGTTTAATTAGCTAATGGAACTTAACTTTTTTATGTCATTACATGAAGACGTCTTTTGTCGGTTTTCGTAACTGTTTTGAATTGCTGTGAGGCAGAATGTTTCCGAACATGCTTTAAAATTTATGATTCGGACAAAAATCGCTATAATAATAAAATAATTATGTAGAAGTGCGTGAAATATTAAATAATGTTCTTATTTTGTATTTTCAGAATATCTGAGTGGAAGCTGAATGTCCATGGTATAGTGCCAAATGAAATAAAATCTCGTGGGGTAAGATAACATCACTTTTTTTTTTTAATTTAGCAACTTAAAACGGCTAGATTCCTATATTTATAGATTATTAAACTTATTCCAGACATGAGATAATAAGTGCAACATTCTACACTATGAACACTGCCAAAAGATTGCTTGTGGCTTACGGTAGGAAATAGGTATTCAAATCTACATGATTTAAGATTTTTTACTTGGAAGATCATTGCTATTGCTTTATTCATTAATAAATTTTATACTATCGCCTTAAGGAATTACTTTTTTTCCTGAAATGTAATGTACTTTCATCACTCTTTACCAGATTTTCATGTCGAGATTTTCAGTCATTCTATATGAATATGGTAATTTCAGTGCGGTTAAAAGATATGGAGATATTCAATAACACTTCTTGAATACTTGCCCTAAATTCCGTTAAAATACAACATATGATAGATATAAGAAAGAGGCGAAAATTGGAATTTTAAAACGTGTTCAACTGACTATAACGTATCATTGTTTAACAGCTGAACTATTTCTGTTTCAGGTACAAAGTGATGTGTTACCTCACTATCCTTACAGAGATGATGCCATGTTGATATACCTAACCATACGAAAATACGTCTCTAAGATCGTTCATCGGTTTTACGGTAAGTTAAGATCCATGTTATACGCGCTCCATTTTCGCTGAAAGTGAAAGATTATTATTATTATTATTATTATTATTATTATTTGCTTTGAGGTCTACTCTTTAATTTTAAAAACTCGGATATGAGAAATATTAGGTGATTAAAAAAAATAAAAATAAAAATTTGGTTGCAGTAATGTTAAAATATACGCCGATTTAACCTTGATTACAGAGCAAAGATGGTCAAATTTCAGATATAAAAAAGTAAACATTTGTCCAATGAGCTATATTGATACGTATTCTTGTCTTTTTAAACTAAAGGTAACAAAATTGCTCTTACTCTAAGCAACCGTTTCGCTCAAGAAACTTCTATAAAGCTAGATTCGACGCGTTGTATTTACTATTAAAAAAAATCCTCTCTTATCTGAAGTCCTTGACGAAGCATCATCTATTGTTTTAAAGCTTAATCAACAGTTTCATCATTTTCTGCCCATAGACAAACAAAGGCGAAAAAAATTGGCTTAAGTTTGCTATTGAATTTATTCGCACTATTTGGAATTCAATTGACTCCACAGGGACGAATAAAAAATGTTCTGGTCTTCGGCTGTTATGCGCTTAGACCTTATAAGGTATTTTCGCTCTCCTCTCCGTATGTCTTCGTGGTGTAAATGGAGGTCCCATAATCGGAAGGGCTGGAGTTCGAATCCCGGCGAGGGCATTGCCCATTTTCCATGTTTCCTGCATCAATAAAACCTAACGATTCTACAGTGACGCCTGAACAAAAAGGTGGTGGGTGATTAATCCTTACCACCAGGATTTGGCTACTGGAACACAGTCTCCCTTTAAATAGGGGAATACATAATGTATTTTCTCCCTCCTTTTCCGGGTATCTTCATGGTGTAATTGGAAGCACGTCCGACACGTAATCGGGAGATGCGGAGTTTGAATCTCATTGTACATTGAGGGAACTGCACATTTTCCATGTTTCCTGCATCAATATAACCTAATGACTTACCAGACTCTATGGCCGTTTGTTGTAATAATAATTATTAATACTGCTACCATACTCCCCAGTTACTTCAGTACCTTTCCTACCGCACTCTTCAGTTAAATGCTTCTCGATATACCGCAGTTTCGGATAATAAATATCAGTTACCTAAAACCATGTGTAAATAGCGCCGTTCTGAATAACAGACCTAACAATAAAACAGTTATTTTCATATGTCAAAGTTTTTCCTTCACCTTGATACAAATGCTTGACACTTAAAAAAAAGATTTCATTTACATTATGTAGTTACCCGTAATCAAAATGTTAATTTTACAGAAACAAAAATAAGCGAAAAAATTTATAATTTCAAAAAAGGAGAAGAAAATAATAATTATATGAAATATGATATATCTGCATTTCATATGTGATAAGTGATTAAATGCATATACAAATTAAATGTACGCGATAAGATTCTGAATTTCATATACGCATATTAGTAGCATGTATTTAATTCTTGTGTACTGTGTTGTATTTTGTCCTGTTCTATTTTTCTTACCTTTCAACTTATCTAATGTTTGAGTGAAATACACACAAAATGATTTAAATTCACTGATAAATGCATATGTATCAGTATCTAATGTTTCTATTTTTTTTATTGGATAGCCGTAAATTATCAGAAAAACACACAATGCTTTATAATGCAGGTTTAATTTTATCCCTACATCTTTTATTATAACGAAAAAGCACTGTTTTATTAGTGCCATTTTAAAGCACTGTTAATCCCTCATACATTAAAATGTCTGCGGAGCTTTATTGCAATTACTAGAAGGGAGAAAAATCCGAAATTTTTCTGGAATATTAATCCTAAAATGTTTTTGAATCCTTCAAATCAGGAAAAGAAGGGAGAAGGAAAAAAACTGACTTAACATTAAAAGGCTTTTTTTTTTTTTTTTTTTTTTTTTTTTTTTCCCATGAAACAGAGCTTTAAATCTGCATTTAATGAAAAACATTCATTTTTAGCCATTCAGGTTAATTTTAACCGAATAATCTGATAAAAAAGATTTGAGTAACTGCTCAAGTTTCAGTTTTTAACAGTACAAAATCCAATAGCCTTAACAGAGTAGTTGAGATGATAGACAATTTAAGTCAGCGTTTATTTACGATGGCATGGGCATCTAGAAACATCCATTTATTACTAGCAGATTATCTATGTTCAAAAATTCAAGAGTAAATTTTATGATTTTTGGAGAATGCGAAACGTACCGGTTATTTGAAAATTCGGGTAGATTTTGTTAGAAAGTGGTAGATGCTGAAATAGTGTAACACCACGAAGCGGTTTTAATGACCTAAATACCACTGAAATTCCAATAGTCGCGTTCTTTTTCTAATGAATGTTTCTTTTAAACGTCAATATAGTTAATCTTTACAAAATTCTGAGTTAAAACGTTTTCACGGTTTCAATCTAAGATTCGAAAGACGAGAAAAGCGCGAAGGTTGGAGGATTCGAATATCTTTTCCCTAGTACTAAAAATCGTTTCCAGTAAGCTGGGATATAAAGCCAAGTAATTCTGAACTGAAACAGAAATCTGAAGCTAATATTTTCCCTTGAATGAAGATTTTGTCAAATTAGAGCAGTGAAATCATCGCGTGAACTTCCAGACGTAGAAATTTTGATTCGAATGTGTTCTCCTGAAAATAACAGAAACAGTAGAGAAGAAAATGACCTTTTTCTGTTGCCTCAACAATCAATGGGAGTTGATCCTAGAAGCGAAGGATTACGTTAAAAGTATGTAAAAAATTTTTGCTTAATTAGTTTGCAGAAGCGAGAAATGCTTATAATGACAAACAGTACAGCTAAGCAAACGTCAACAAAAAATCGTTCAATTAAAACGTTTGTACTTCACTACAGTTTACACATTAAAATATAGCATAAACTAATTTAAACTACATGGAAAAAAATTTTAATTCGCCTTCAGTTTTCTTATACCGGAAGTGGATTGTATATTGAAAACTACTGCATTATGAAAATGTTAGCACTGAGAGTATCTTTCAATTCATTTTAAAAAAACTGGTTTCTTTTAGATACTGACGACAAAATAATCAACGACTACGAGCTTCAGCAGTGGAGAGCAGAACTAGTCAAAGACAGGAAGCTTGGTGGTTGCGGCTTAATGGTATGTATTTTTGGAAATAAAAGTTCTCGTATCAAAAGCCAGAGTAAACTCTTTTGTATGTATGTGTATATACAGAAATATTTTGTAAAATTCTCTAGTTTGTGCTTCCAACCGTTTTTAAGTCACCAGGACTCAAACTATTAGCAATGAAGATTAAGAATGGAATCAGTTACGTTTTCAAATGCAAAGCTGACCGATTAACTAATTACAGCGAAACACACGAGAGTTATGTATCTACAGTGGGAAGGCTTCGTGGGCTTTTTACAGAAAACTAGTTAGCATTACTATTATTTGTTGACGAAACCAGTCGAGCACGAATGTGTTAAATCCATTCCTATATGTGTAACACTATTCTGCATTTGAAAATTTTTTTGTGTGTTTCATTTAGATTTCACCCTGATAAATCCAAACATGATTTTTTTTTCATTGCCATCAACCAGTTTTAATAGAAGCATGGAACTAAACTAATTTAAACTCTAAAAATTCCCATCCTTTCTGTACGTTACTTTAACAAAAAATTAAATAAGTCCCTAGTTATGACGAACCTGGAATAAATATATTTTATTATTATTCACTAAGTCTTAATATGGCCTATTTTTCTCACCTGGCACAGTATTTTCTCATGGGAGGAAAACTTTTTCATTCAGTTGAAAAACAATTTCATTTACATAAAAGTAACACTATTTGATAAAAAAAAACTGCTTCAGTAATATCAATAATGTTAGCTGTAGATCAGCTGAAAAGATTCCATGTCATGTGGAATATCACACAAATAATACATTAAGTGGTCTTCAAAGTCTGTAATTTGAAGTATTGTTCCAGTTTATCATCAATCTCTTTCATATATCCACCATAAGTTCCACAAATAAGATCGCATTTACATTATAAAACAAAAGTACCTTTAATCTTATTTTTCTGGGGTCGATAAGAAGGTTTTAGTTTTTGTATTTCACAGTTTAAGTTCATCTGATTGGCTTGGTAATAAAACTTTCTTTCACAATTGCAAACACTTCCTTCTTTTATTTGCATTTTATTTCCTTCTTCTTTTTGCATGAGGTTTTCTTATGTGTTACGCATGTACGAGTCAATTTCACTTAGCAAATTCTTAATGCAGGCATCTTGCATACGGATATAGCTATTATGTCAAACATAATTAAATAACCCAATGTCAAACATAATTAAATAACCCAATGTCAAACATAATTAAATAACCCAATGTCAAACATAATGTAAAACATAATATAGAGGAACATTAACTATAGACCTTTTTCAAACTTCTTTCAGATATCTTTCAGACTTTTCTTTTTCCTAAAACTATGAACCTTTTTCAGACAGAGACACCACCGGCCGAGCGGTAAAGTCGCTAAGACTGGAAGTTCGGTCCGGGATTCGACTGCCAACGAAGGGTCTGGCTGCATGGGCGTTTTCGTGGCTTTTCTTATGTATACTAGCCAGTTTTCCTTAGAAAGTCCTCCACGGAGGCATCCTTTACCTTAGGCACGTATCCATCAAGTGCTTTCTCGTAATAAAATAAACCAACCAACCAATCTGCAGACAACTCAAATGCAGAGTTCCACGGGACGTGAGCTGGTTTCTTAAATTTCTGAAGGTGAATAATAAATATGAGATCGGAATGAAGCTCTTGCATAATACAGACGCTAGTTCGGCCATGTTATATAAACCTAGTCTACTAATGGCAATTTAAAAACGTTACAGTTCAACAAACTTAGTAACATTACACAGCTCAAAACGAAACTCCATAACATTCTTTCTTCTTAATCGAAGGTCTCAGGGTATCTTTAAATCATCATGTCTATGCTGTTGGCTTAATAATAAAAAAAAGACAGTTTTAAGCCAGTTTATTTTCTTGCAGACATAGCACTTTTAGTTAAAATGGTTAAGTATTTATACATAGCCTTCTTCATCATAAATATAGTCTGCTTCGTGTTTGAATAACATGAAAGAAATAAAATTTTAAAAACATATTTTATCATCTGTTGACTTGAGGAGGTGAAAGGAAAATCCGTTAAACATACTAAAAAGTGGTTAATGCAAAATCGCTAAATAGAACAAATTGGGAATAAAAGTAAGTAAAGTTGGCTGCAAAAGCCTCAGAGGAAAAGGAAGTAGACAAGAGTAACAAAATACTGAGAAACTAACTGAGACAAAGTCACGAAGAACTGTCTGAGGTCTGGAGAACAGTAAAAAATGTAATTCGAATCATTTACTGAAATCAGAAATTTGGGGGCTTTGAAAAACTTAAAAGAAATCCAATATGTGCATTCGCTCGCTTACCGCTGACAAAGACTCTTTCTTTTGGAGGGGGCAGTTTGAGAAGCGCTCGGTATCGGGCAGGGGTGCTCGGCCCAAAGGGCCAATTTGCCCAGAAGGGCTTTTAATTTCGTTTTGGCATTTTGTGGCGTTTCACCATAAACGGCGTTTCACTTTTCAAATTGTTACCACCAAATATTAAAGCCCTGTATTATATTCAAAGAAGTTAAATAAAGAAGAATCTGCATAAATGCATGCATGTTTCTCGCATTGTGATAAAATAACGATACCTAGAGCCATCCAATTTTGAATATAATCCAATTCTAAAGATATGCTCTTTTAAATATTTTGTGAAGTTGCTGCTGAATTTAATTCTATGGTTTAAGAGAGAAGAACATGATATTTAATAAATAAAGGTAACACACAAAACGTTAAAAAAAAGTCCTTTTGGGCGTACTTTCAGATTTCTTTTTCATATTATTATTTTTACTTTCTTTCTCAGTACATTTAATGTATTATTTTCAGGATATCCAAAATATATATAGTTATCAGTAATAATGAAGCTCTTGCTTTTATTGCCTATTTATCTTTGTTTAACTTGGCATATTTTTTGTCAATGTTTATTGTTAAAGAAACAAATATTGTTAAAGGAACACAATCTTCAAAATGAATAGCATGTTCAAAATATGCATACTACTTAAAGCAATCTATTTATATTAGCACTATTATTTAATGTATATTTAATTCCTTAAATTCGGTTTCTTAGCTGACACTTTCTTATGCAAAAAATATCTAACATTTTGACTTATGCTTTTATACTAATATATTAGGAAATATATTTATGCAATAAAAATTTTTCATTCGTCCACCAGAATAAAGGAAATGACTTACCTTTTAAAATTTGTAGGGTGTCCCTGGAGACGAAAACAATAGGTTCACCGATACTGAAGAAGTGGTTGATACATTAGCGTCTATTATCAGTACGTGTAGCTTAGGGCATGCAGCAGCAAATTTTCAGCAGTATGATGATTATGCCTTTACACCAAATTATCCAGGCATACTTTGTGCAGATCCTCCACGAGACAAAGTAAGTAACGTTTCCTGTTAATGCATTAGAGCATAAAAGGATTTCTAATGGAAAATAAAAGCATTAAAGTTTTGTATGTTACTGCTCTTCGTTTTGCAAAATAAGAATATGGATTTTTATTGAATGTATTCCTAATACAAAAAGGTGACGATCTTACGCTATATGAATAATATAAATAATCTAAAAAATAATAATAATAATTCCAGTGCATCCTTATTCGGCACTGTCACCATCGCGTCTAATAGGTAGTATCAAAGGTTTACTCTCATTTACTCGACAGTGATAACAGTTGGAATTCTGTGTTTTAAACGAGGAAGCAAACTGTCATAAATAGGTAGCAGATACATTCTGGCTCTCTTCACAAGTGAATATTTCATTAATAAAGATAACAAAAAACTAATAAGTTTGTAAGGTATTTTCGCCCTCCTTTCTGCATGCCTTCGTGGTGTAACGGTAGCACACTCGGCGCCTATTCGAGAGGTACAGGTTCGAATCCTGGCGAGGACACTGCTCATTTTTCATGTCTCCTTCTTCTAAATAACCTAATGACTCTACAAGTAAAAGCATTTTCTCAGTAACTCTGTAATAATTAATTTTTTTAACCTTTCACTGATAATAATTATTTACCTTTATTGCACAACAAAAGGCACCAATTCCAATATAAATCTTCAGATTTACTCAATATTAAATACATATCATTCTATGCAGTTAAACTAATACAGAAGTTAATCGTTATAAATATAATAATAAATTATATTCAGTGCTTAAATTATTTTTAATAGTTAAAAAGACTATATTTTAGCTTTAAAATTTTATACTGCGTTTTAGTTTTTTAATTATTTTTTGTATATATATATATGTGTGTGTGTGTGTATGTGTGTGATAAAAGCAAAATTCAGAAGAACTGAAGTGAGAAAACCGAGACTTGGAACCGATGGCGTAGCTACTTGATACTTAGAACGTAGAATTCGTAATGATTAAGAAACTTGGCAGTCGAAGGCAGATTTTTAATTCCATTTTTATTTAAATTCACATTTAGAGCCACAGTTCACTTGGCACTCTAATCGTGCCTCCTTTCAGAACATTTACATTTTTAATACAATTGCAACAGGAACAAAGCACAGCGAAATGACGTCCAAGCAGCAACAGAGTTACAATCGAAGTTGAAGCTAAAAGTACGCATTTATCCAATATGATAGTCTGTTAAGAGAAAGGTTTTAGTTTAGGGTAGAAATATTACAGTTTTCAAAGTTTAGTTTCCGATTTAACTACGTCATCAGCGTTACGCAAGCCATGTGCCATAGATAAAGAAATGAAAGAATTGTTATTTCTTTTAAATAAAAGAAATGTTATTTTTTTAATAGAGAGAGGATATACACAAATAAAAATTAAGAAGGAATTAAGAAAATATTACTAAATTAAATTATAAAGCTGAATTACATATTTTTCTCTTTGCATATATATATATAAACAAAACCTCTGAAAAATCTTTAACTGTGTCTATATGATTTCTTGTAAAACCTGTAGCATTAAATATTTTTCAAGAGGGACTTACATGCTTAAAAAAATGGGCTTTACCTTTATAGGCTTAACAACTTTATCACTGAGCAATTAAAAATGATAACAACTCGAACATTTATATTAAATTTAATGTCTTTAGAAATAAAACCATTAGGGATAAAATGAGGCAAAAACATTAACAAAAGCAAGAAACCTCCGGATAACACTGAACAACTTGTTAATTAATTTTTTTTCCAGGAGTTCGAATCCCGGGGAAGGGCATTGCACATTTTTCCTGTCTCCAGTACCAAAAACCCTAATGATTCTGCAACTTTTGTAACTGGATGTATATTACACGACCAACGATTTCGAAAATAAAGGCCACGTAAATATTGACATGGATACGTCGCATATATGGAGAAAGATCGACATATCCTCAAAGCATCCCACATACGAGTAATTCAGTAACATTATCTAATAAACATATTAAGCTCATTCTCACCAAGTACTTTAGTATATACATACCAGACTAGTTTATCTCTTACGTTTCTGCTCCATTGCGGTTACCGGTCCTCTTTTTTTAGCATCGTCTCTCCCGCCCTCTTAAGTGGTATGCGTCTCGGCCAAGGGAATACGAGATCTTAGGTCGACGGAGTTTTACGTCCGATACGACCAAGTAGGAGCAATCAGATTTACACATTCTAATGACCCAAATTAAGCCCCCTTTTTTTAAGACATTTGAACCCTCGTCCTCGGATTAGGATTGGCAATCAATCTCTCCTGATCATTATTTCGTATGGTGGCTTTAAAGCATGAAAAATGAAAATCATAAATATATCGTGACTTTTGTTCATTTTCGTTAGAGACCATTAATTGAACAATTTATACCAACAGAAGTCTTTCACAACCTTTTAACCCTTGTACTAACTAGAAACATTATTTATATAAAATGGAATATCAACATAAAAATTATTACTCTGCTTCTCTTATAAAGTTAATAAAGAAATCAAATTTTTCTCTGATAGCTGTACTAAGAGAAAAATAAATGACACTTTACCTCAAATTTACTGAAAACGTCTCCTACCTCTCGCACAAAAAATTCAGATTAAACTATCTGTTCATACTGAAGTACCTTTACAAATTAATACGATACCTGTAAACGCACATGCACGCACTACTCTCCCAAAAACAAACAAATAAATAAGTAGCCAGTATTTATTTGTTTGTTTTGGGGAGAGTAGTAGCCAGTATTTATTTGTTTGCTTTTGGGAGAGTAGTAGCCAGTATTTATTTGTTTGTTTTCGTCCTGTTTATATGCAACATATAAATAGGACGAAAACAGATAATAAATACTACCATAACTTACTTATTAATAATGTAAAAATGACAAATCAAAGTGAAATTGCGATTCCCACTGAAAGTGTCATATTATAGAGTCTATTATGTTTTTAAGAGCTTGAAATATAAGAATAATCAGCGATGCTCTCTGTGGGATTCGAACTCAGGACCTTCTAATTGCTAGCGGAATGTGTAGCCATTTGTACCACGAAGATACACAGTAAGAAAGAAGAAAACTCCTAATATTCTCTCTCATATAAACGGTGAATGGGGAGGAGGGGCCTTAGTTAACAAATCCAGATTGTGACAAATTATCGTACACGTCTTGTAGTCATACGATATTTGTAGGAACAAGATGAAAATTCAGCAATGACCTCTCCGGGATTCGAATACCGCATCAATGTGATTACAGTTACACTACGAAAGCACGCGATAAGGCAGGAGAACATCCTTTACAATACGAATATACATATATATATATATAAAATATAAAAATTGTAGTAAGCTCGCCTTGTATGATCTTAAATCCATTTAGTGCGAATACAAGTTATTATTACTTGCGCAATTGCTGCAAAGTTAGTTAATAATAATTTATTTCTTAAACAGTATTGATTAATTGATTATATTATCTCCTAAGTTTAATTAAAGTAGAATTATTTTAATAGTGTGCCTCCATACTGGTAAGTTATATTTTGAAAGATGTTTTGAAGTAATTTGAAAGCAAAATGTTAATAATGTTTTAACGGGAACTGGAGTTAAATCATCACGAAGAATAATATTTCAATTGTAAAAGGAAAAATTAAAACATGTAATCATTGTCATTGATCGGAAATTAGTTGACTTTTCAAGGGGAACAAACCAACTCCCGCTCAATGAACAATAATTGATAAAAATACATATATATATTTTAATTCAATTTAGCTAATAAAATTTATTTCTAACAAGAATTGTTCAAGAATATGTCATACGTGTAAAGTAAAGTTACGACTTTTAATTAAATATAAAAGTAATTCAAAAATACATTTACATATAAAAAGGCCTGTTCATCTCCATTTCTTGTGGAATACTGGAATTTCAGAGAAAGAAGAATGAGAAATATTGAATATATATTTAACTTACTTTAAAATAGTATTATTTACCTATTAATGATTACGTATAAAACACTTTCATTTCTGCTAAAATATTATGATTCCAAGAGAAGGGGTGAATGCTGGAAAATACTGAACTTGCGATACATTTATTTTAAAAGTGCACTGTTTATGTACTAAGGATTTAAAATTTTCAATTTCTTGCAAGTAAGCATTTACTTTTAGAAAAATGATAATAAAAAATATAAAAAAAAAAAAAAGAAAGAAAGAAAGATATAATAAAAACGCTGCATTGGTCGGTATGGGGATTAACGATGCTGATTGCCGCATCGGTGGTTCGGGATCGAATCCCAACGAAGGCTTGGATGTTTGTAAGTGCAAAGTGTTTGCGTGGTAAAAGAGCACTTAAAATGTTAGAGAGATAAAAGTATTATAGAAAGGGTTTGGTGGTAGAGGAAAACAGGTGAAAGAACCTCGGATCCGTTCAACGTGGTATTCTCCATCAAAATTTGAATGGAACCTCTTTCCAGGTTGTAATTTGATCGCCCCCTCTGATGCACCCTAGACAACGTTTTCGTCCTGTACAATTAAATGACCGAAGGGCATTTATTAGCTATTCCCGACGAATGTATTAAAATTATTGTATCCGTCTATTTGAAATAATAACATATTACAAAAACTATTTAAAAAAGCACAAAAAAACATAAGATTGATTATAGTGATACAGAAAATTTAACAAAAATTTAACCATTCAAATATAACATTGACGATTTTAGCAGCAGCTAAGACCATTGATCAATGTATAAGGTATTTTCTCCCTCCTTTCCACAGGTTTTCGTGGTGTAATTGGAAGCACACATATGACGCGTATTCGAGAGGTCCAGGGTTCGAGTACCGGGGAGCGAACTCCCCATTTTTCACGTCTCCTGCATGAAAAATCCGATTGAGTCTACAAGTGACAACAAAACTGAAAGGTGGTGGACGATAATTCGTCACCACCAGGATTTGGCGATTGCATTCTTTAATCCCCAGTCGCCCTTTAAAATGGAGAGTATATAAGGCATTTTCTCCCTCCTTTCCACATGCCTCCGTGGTGTAAGTGGAAGCGTACTCGAGGCACTCGAGAGGTACAGTGTTCGAATCCCGGCAACGGAAGTGCACATTTTCAAGTCTCCTGAAACAAAAATCCTAATGACTTTACAAATACGAGTATATCTCACTGCTGGGCAATGTGATTAAAGCCACAAATAGTTTCCCCAGTGTTTTGTTTCTGGTAACTGAATAGGTATCGGGTGTGCCCATGAACCAATTTCCCTACGAAAATCCTCCACAATGGCATATCTCCTTTATGGCAGCTAACTGTAATGCGCTTTGATAGAGTTATCATTCTCGCAGGAATGCGAGAAATGTGCAATTACCTTGCTGGAATTCGAAACATGTGCAGTGATCTCGTTTGAATTCGAACTCCCGACCTCCATAATACGTGTCGAATGTGCTATACAGTTACACCCCGAAGGCGTTCGTAAAAGAGGGCGAAAATAACTTATACCGTAATTAAACAATTCAGTTCATTTCAGCATATTATCAAAATTGTGTTTCATGAAATGAAAAAATATAATTAATTAATCAACTTTAATGCAATGAAAGACTGAAATACTCGGAACTATTCCATTATACATACTACACTTTTCATCCAAAAAGCTGTGAAATCACAACTTCCATTAAAAGATATAAGGTATTTTCTTCCTCCTTTCCGCATGCCTTCGAGTTGTAATTGGAAGCACACTCGATGCGTATTCGAGAGGTGTAGGATTCGGATCCCGGCCAGGGAATTGAACATTTTTCACGTCTCCTACTTAAAAAAAAATAAATAATAAAAAAAAAATAATAATGACTACAATGTTATGAATAAAACTCACTTTTTTGCATGTGTGACAAATTAGATTCATTTCGTATGACGATATTTGATATTACGATGCTATTTAATAACTTTGCTTTTCTATTATTTTACAGACACCTCTGACAGAGAATGACATACTGAATGCAATTCCAAATAAACAAACTACGTTAGATATCATGGTTATAACAAAACTTCTCAGTACAAGAGCCACGAAATCACTAGGTGATTTTGAATCCCAGTACATGTTTCATCCCACATGTGTTCAAGCAGCGAAAGAGTAAGTATACGCGTATTTCTTTTAATATTACCAAATAATATACATAATGGGTTTCCGATTAACCGGTGTAAAACTGGGGATTACGTACACAGTAAATGCAAAATCACGGTTTGGTTTATTTGATTTAAGTAAAGTACTCGAGGGCCATCAGTCTAACGGGCGAGATGCCTTCGTGGAGGTCTTCCTAACGTAAAACGGCTAATAAACAAGTTACACATGGGGAAAACCACAAAATCACAGTTAATCTAAAGGCAGTTAAAAAAACATGTAAAGGTAAAAAATTAACTTATATTAGACTGGTGGACAAAATTTTAGGATAACATGGTGTATAAGGTATTTTCTCCCTCCTTTCTGCATGCCTTCGTGGTGTAACGGTAGCACACTCGACACGTATTCGAGAAGTCCAGGTTCGAGTCCTGGTGACGGCACTGCACATTTTTCACATCTCCTGCTGAAAATGTCTCTACAGTAGCACCTGAACTAAAAGGTGGTGGATGTTGAATCTTCACCACCAGGATTTGGGGATTGGGTCCACTAATCCCCAGTAACTCTTTAAAATGGGGGTTTCTTCCTCCTTTCTGCATGCCATCGTGGTGTAACGGTAGAACACCCAACGCGTATTCGAGAGGTCCAGGTTCGCTAGGGTATTGCACATTTTTCACATCTCCTACTTAAATTAACCCAATATCTCTACAGGTGTTTCGACTGTAACAAAAATCATTATACAAGATCTCCAAGGTATGAAAATATGGGACGATTGAGCAAAACCTTCTAAACACGGAATAAAAAAACAATTTTTTGGAAAGGTAGCTCCGAGCACAACTGGAGAAAAGACAGAAACGTCCGCCTGACAAACGACTGACAAGAAAAATCCAGTTTTTAGAAAAGGATATGGTCAGCGCTGACGACGATGGAGGAATTACAAAGTCCCTGCTCGGGATAAAATTCTCAAGGAACTGTTGAGGCACCGAGCCCTTTCCTCTTGTACCGCCAGCTTCAGCTGAGGAATCGTTGCTAGCGGCTGGTCACGTGCTGCCAAGCATCTTCTGGAAAGATACCTTGTATGTTCTATGGGATATATGTTCTGTGATTTAGGTCTGTGCGATTTAAGTCCTTTGCAGGCAAACCATGCGTTGAATATCTCCACTCTCCAAGAGCTCTGAAGTAGTTACTGTATGATAAGCTGTAGCATTGTCGTCCATGAATTGGTAGTCTAGACCCACAGCATCTTTAAACAGACGCAAGTGAGGGAACAGAAGCTCGGTACGTAGACGGACACCAGTGGCTGAACATCTGTCGAAAATGTGGAGGTCAGTACAGCTACTAAGCATGATACCCTCCAAACAAGAAATACGGCACCTCAAAAACGGTCCCTTTTGGTTGGAGGGTCATAGCGTGTTTCTTTCTCTCTCCTGATGTGTATACGTCCAGAATCGCTCGTCAAACTAAATTGGCTGTCATTCGTGAAGAGCACTCGACTCCTCTTGTTGTCTCCAGTTTTTGTGTTCTCAGCACCAGAGAAACCAGTGTCTCCGATGATAGGCGTTAATGGCACATACCGTACTGGTCGTCGGGCATGTACATATATATATGTATATACGTAACAACCTGGTCATGGCGAAACGAAGTATCAAAATTCCAATTGTCTCTTGCCTATGCATTGTGATTTCACCCGCTATCTGCCACCTGTCTGTTCGTGCCTGACGGACAATGTGTCGGCAGTTTGCCACCCTTGTTGGTAGTCGAAGACCATTAACGAAGGTTCAGACAGCCGTTCCAGCCATTTGAGAAATGCTCCATAGGCTCATGAAACGGTACTGTGAGTAATTAGATACTCCTCCACCACACTTTCTCACTTTGACTTTCTTCTAGCTTCCCAATAATGCGAACCCCTGGTAAGAATTGCAGGCTTCCTTCACCCCACCTGGGCACAAGTGTCCCCATAGCTCAAAAGAAGGAGTCCCGTATCTCCACCAACAGGACCCCTTCTGATATTGTTATTTGAAGGTATGCAGACAGATGTCTTAGCTCTCATGGTTACAATTACAGTGAAAAAATTTCGAAAGGCAACACCCACTTTTTTCTTACGCAAATTGATCAGCGCATTGAAAAACCATAAATGGCGTTCAAAAGATGCACATATGACGAAAATTGCCGGCGCAAAAACATTTGCAACGAAGAGGACTGTACAAGACCAATGACAACACAAAGAGGAGGTGCATATGATGCACTTTTGCATCATTCACAGGGATAGGCAGTAGAAGCACAAACCACAGAGCATTACGTGCAAAGCACTGCTTGTGGAAAACTTTAATAAGCAATGTGGGAAGATTGTTTTCTTCAATCAGATGTTCGAACATGCTAGCAAGATAACATTTACAGGAAAACAAAGAGCTGAATTGATAAAACTGTTTTATATGAACGGGGGAAATGCTGCCGAAGGAATACCGAGTTTATTGGCGAAATCATAATCTAAGACGAGGCATATGATGGATAAAAACTGTACGTAATTCGGTAACAAAATCTGAAGAAAAGAGATGCACATTTAATGGACCACAATCTGGATGACCATGTATTCCTATTGAAGTTGCTGAAGTGCATATGATTATAAAATGGTCTATTGCATACTGCAAGGAAGTGTTGCGCGCAGTCTGGATGTACCCAGTGCTCTTCCACATGTGTTTGGCAAGTGCTCCAAGAGCACTTTAGAAATAAGTCATCTCTAAATCTGCAGTTTCGTGGCCACCACGATCCCTCGACCTCCCACCGATGGGTTTCTGGTTCTGGGGTTATCTGAAATCTAAGATGCACATATCAATTCCACGAGATTTATCAGGCCTTAAAGATGCCATAAAACGTGAAGTTAAGCAGATTTCTCCAGCCACGTTACGGTCACAATTGTCGATAATCTCCAGCATCCTTTATCGTCTGCGAAAGTGGGCATGTTGAAAACTTATCATTCCAATAATATTCATTCTCATCTTTTGCATTATTGGTTCTTTTAAATGTTTTATCCTGGCAATTTTCATCATAAATTTTGTCCGGCAATCGTTCCAGCGTCATTTATGGTTTTTCAATGCAGTAAAAAGAATAGGCTTCCGAAAATTTTCACTGTAACCATAACGAAGAGAACTCTTATTGTTTTAAATAATTTTGAGCGCATACCTCCAAATAACTATATTTAAAATTTCGATTGATTGAGTGGATATGCCCCAAAAAAGGGTTCATACATCGGGGGGAGTTGTTTATGACTATCCTGCATTGCTACAACAGACGAGACTGGAAGCTACTTTAAAATACTCAGATATCTAAAACTAGTTAAAACTGCTGCCAATCATTAGCAGTAGCTACTTGTATCTGTGATATACACACATGGTAGCAATGGAGTCTAGACCTCTGAGAATGATGTAGCATTACTTTACAGAGCTTTCAATAATGTTTTCGTTTACCTAATAATTCGCAATAACATAAATAGGTAACAAGTTGAAAGGCATCCTTCCGTATTAACTGCAATTATACCGCCCACCTGCAACAAAGATTTGATTTGAAAGGCACAGAAACATGATATATGTAGAACCATGTTTTTCATAAAATTTACCTTTGACTTAATTACAGCAGTTGAACATCATTAATTAAAACTAGCTGTTGTAAAACACAAGACTGCATATATCCCACTTCAGCAGATTATTAATATACAGTCAAAAGTCGTTAATCCGGACTCGTCGGGACTTCGGATTATCGATTTTTCCGGATTATAGGTCATAAGTTTAAATCTGGTAAGATGGAATGCAGAAATTATAAAATTTAAAATATGAAACCGTAATTTATGAAATAAAGAACAATTATGATCTAAAGGGTATCAAAATTTACAAAAAAAAAAAAGCTTAATATTTATTTGTTTACTTTATTAAATATTTCTTTCAATGTAAGTTGTTTAAGTTGCTTCGTTTTTTATGTGATAATACATTCTCTTTAATTCTATAAACAGACATAATTTCTTGTTCAGTTCCGCTGTTCAAGTCCTATAATTGCTCTGTCGAGAATACCGACTAATTTGTCAATCGAAATTTTTTCGTTTTCAATAACCTGTCACTTTCTTCGCTATCGGAAGCGAATTATAACGACGAGGAACTTGTTTTAAATAATATCAAAGACGGAGCATATCGAGATGAAATACTACATTTGGTAAGGAATTATAAGCCAAATAAAATAAAAACATCTGCGCTGAAGATAAGGATAGTGCTGACAGATCAACTTCCAATTCATTGCGCGCCGTGTCGTCCCCCCCGCAGAGCAGCGTGAAATTGATAAACAGATTTCGGAATGATTAGAGAATCAAAGTATATGCCTTCATCCATTTTTTGCAGTAATTCCACTTTCTGTTTAATGGACTTCGAAACATACTTTCGCTTTGTAGATCCCTTACATATAAGTAAATATATATCGGAAATTCTATTTGACATAATCGAAAGCTCAAGCTTACTTTTATAAAATTGCTCTAACAGTCTGCAAAAAATAATAAGCCGGATCCAATTCGAAGATTAAGGAACAACGCAATCTGCAACATTAACTGAATTAGGTAATTTTAGCTTAGCTTATACCATCCGTTATACATTAAACGCGCATGCGAAAACGTATTATGCGCATGCGCACACGCATATTCGCAGCCGTAAAGGTCTTACACGCATGCATAAACACGACGCATGCGCAGAAAGTTTGTAGCTTTTGGTCCGGATTATAGATCATTCCGAATTATGGGTGTCCGAATTAACGACTTTTGACTGTAGTATCTGGCATATATTGGTGAGAAGTTACTTGTAAGAGTATTTTCAAGTCTGAAAATTGGCTTAGATTTATTGCTTAATTTTACTTTCTAAGACACATCGCTGAATGAAAAGTGCTGCATTCTACCTTGAATAAACATCATCATATTCAAATGCAATACAAAATTTAAAACTATACAAAAGAAAACACAGCAAAATTTAGCTTTCTGCTGAAATGGTGGACACTGCATCTAGGCCAAGTGCACTTGCTTGCTGAATACTTTACTCAGTATCTACAAATTTTATATCTCCTATGCTCCGTTCACATAAATTTGGAAGCTAGTATGTGAAATAAATCAATATGTTTATGTATATTACAATATTTAAAAGTATGCCTGCCGATCATAATATACATGAAAATGATTCATTTTGCACCCTGAATATCTAGTCTCGCAAACAGGAGTGACAATAAAAAAATCTAACAGAGTGGAAACAGTGAAAACCTTACATCTCAGATGCATTTCTTTAAAATAAAATCTAAACACTACAAATATAGCAATCGTTGTAATCAAACAACAGACTGATTGCTCTCTAAATTTGCATTCGAGTAGTTCTGCACCATCATGTTAAAATGTACTAGCACCTTATTGTGCTGAAATCACAAACAATATAGATAGTTAATGGTACATCCTGCAACAACTCTAACAAGACATCTTTCAGTAAAATGGAATAAGTTTGCCTTTTGATATGGTTATGCCAGACCAAATCATTATGGAGAAAAATGTTTCTGTTTAGCATGTGGATGAATTCACGTTTGTCCAAAATGAGCACTGTGCATACAAGTACTCATGCAAATAAGGCATATGATGGAAAATTTACATACACTGCACAAACCATCATGACAAAGATTATCCTCAGCTATCAGTACATAAATTCTATGCTAATTATGATGTAAATTATTCCCGTGCATACCTTCAACACATGCTTATGCCAAGACATTCTTAAACTTGTTTCTATACATCTTCATGCTTGATGGAAATTACAAGTATATTTTAGCTCATTTCTAATATTGGGTTTATAAGTACTGCATATTTCTTTAATGTTCATCTACCCATTTTTCTGTGTTGATTGCACTCAACACAATGACAGAATGCTCTAAACTACATTATCAACATACATCAAACTATGAAAAATATTGAATCAATGATTTAATAGTTACAGCCATAACTGCTCCAAATACAGGGCAGCTTTTTTTTTTTTTTTTGTTATTCATTAGTTTCCTTATTATCACAAATAAAGATATTTACCAGCTTTTTACATCCCATGGAATACTTATATGCAAAAAGAGATTATGACATCATTTGTGGACTTAATAGCAGAAATAAAATTATACATGATGTTCATTTGCCAGAGAAATTTTCTCGTTTAATATTGCTTAAGCTTTATATTATACAAAATTAAGTTTCTCAATTTAACAATATCTGATAACTTTGTGTTGTGCAGCACTACAGAACGTTACAAAAATGATAAAATTAAAGTCATGCAAATTTAGACTAAGGTTTTTTCATCTTTACTGATGCCAAAGTTTAAAATTTTTTTAAATACTTAAATCGTATGAGATACAAGTATGCGAGACTGCTATGTTATAACTTTCATGGGTTTTTGCACACATTTTCTTAAACTTTGTCACTATCATGCATATAAACTGTAAATTTAAATGTTACCATCATTTTTGTAATGATGAGCTTTGAAAAACATGCTGTTCCTTAACTTTTGGGGGCAGTGTATTATAATAATGGAAACATACTAATCATCTGTCTCAGTTCTCCACCTATTACGCCGTCACTAATTCCTATTCTTTATACATTTTCTATGCAGCATACTGTGAAATTCTACTCATAAAATGTACCCTTTCACTTCAAGTATTCTCGCATCATTCGTGCCAATATCAAATGCTCCTATTTCCCAAAGATGGTGGTACAATACCAAATGCTTTATGATTCAGCAGTTGCAAGAAAACATTCATGAGGCTCTTAATGCAGTTTTTTTTTTTTTTTTTTTCTAGCAGTGGAATCTATACATGAAGTTCTATGCATTGTGTCCATACATATATATACAATTTAAATTTTCAGTAATGTTATTCAGGAGAACCGACCATACGAAAATATTTATTTGCTCCTATTTTATAATATAAAAAAATATTGTTTTTTGTAATAGATAGTTTTGATGTTAAATATGAATGGTAAAATTGGATATATTAACGCAGCATGAAATATAAGAAAAATTAAGATATAAGAATATTCTACCCAAAACTAAAACTAACTAATGAATGGATGAATTTATGGCCTACATGTATTCCTTTTCACTTAACATGTAAAACTATTATTTATCAATTGGTACGCAATTGTAATTTTTGTATTTTGCAATAAAGAAATCACTATATAAATCTGCTTTGATTCCAGCATCCTGCATCTTAGGATGCCATAAAAAATTCATTTGTACTAGACATGTATTCTCTTTATAACTACATGAAAAGAAATAGTGATAATAGTTTTGACTTCTAGATAGATTGAATCTTAATGCAGCATTAAATATTAATTTTTGAATTCAAGTCTGACCCATTTCCATGTTTCCTATGCAGATTATATGTGCCACTGTTTTACCAAGATGTCCCAAATAAGAGTATACCCAGATTGAATTTCAGTATAGCACTGTTTTTATTAGTGTACATGTAAAATACTGCATTGTAGCACATATCACATTACTACAAAAAGACAGAGTGCCCCTAATTATACCAATACAAATCAAATTAGCATGCATTTGGATTTGGCTTAGGTATACTTTAATTCGAGACACCCTGTACAGCATGAATGCCTAATCTGGCATACACTCATACTTAATGTTTTAATTCAATTCAAAAGAATTTCTAAAATAATTTCAAAGAATAAATTTAGAATTTTAAGACTGGCGGTACTTGCCAATTAATAGCAGCCTTAGTGAGAAGCAGTTATACAGTTCACATACATATTCAGTGTTTCTTCAGCTAGTAAAAAAAAATATTTTTCATTGCTATAGTTACCATTTTAAATGTTCCATTAATCGATCTTTCCCCAAACAAAATATATTTTACCATCCAAATGAATTTATGACAATGGCTGTGTAATGGGACTGTACATCGCAGGGGAAAGAACAGTCTTGTGGCCTGCAGAAATTTGGTTAGGTTACTACGTGTTATATTGTATATGTTGCAATAATTTAGGGTAGACTCACATATTTTAAATAACTTGCTTACAAACTGTATTAAATAAATACAAAATTGTGTTCAATTTCTTCTGTATATGTGTATCAAATAAAATGTGTACTATACACTATGAATTGCCATACAAAGCTGTTATAATCGACAAATAATGTCTTAAACACTCAAGTACCTTATTAATGGATATTCATATAATTTTAAAGTTGGTTAATACTTCAAATTTCATTAACTTATCATTGCAGGTTTAGAGAAGAACTGGCTGAAATCAGCAGACAAATAAAGTTAAGAAACAGAGCACAAGCTTTCCCATATGACTGGCTAGATCCTGAGTATATTCCAAATGCAATAAGTATATAAAAAAATTCTTGATTTGGTTTTGTAAGAAAAACAACTTTCCGAGAATGTACATCAAGTTAAAGGCAATAATGCAACTAACTGCAATAGGATATCTCAAAGTGAAACTGAATAATTCACTTATTCCCGCAATATCAATCAGCCAGATTAGTTTTCATAACAAAGTTTTAAATTAGCAGATATTTTTAAAAACTTTCATAAAGAAAATGAGAACAAGCTCAGTTTATAGAAATTGTACAATATTACAGTAAAATAAAAACCACAAAGAAATTAAAAGTTAAGTACTTTTATACTCTTTTTATTAATAAAAACCACTAAATACTATGAAAAAAGCTTTTCACTGTGATCATCTTGTATTAATAAAATCATGTACGTAATATGAAAATAACGGTTCATCTTGATTGTAAATATTTTTTTCTATGTAAAAATGAAATAAATTTTTTTTTCTTTGATGTGATGATTCATAAAAAACGTCAAGAAATTAAAAAAAGAAAATTATCTTAATATAAGAAATTTCTTAAATACAAAACTATAAAAATACTCAACTAGCAAATATTAAAAATATTATATTACATATTCAGTAAAATGTTTAACAAATTAAACTTCAAACAAGAATTTATCTTGAACAGAGATCAAAATCTTGCCATAATAAAATATTAACCACGTGTAAATCGTTGTTTCTGCAAAACATTCTTCAGCACAATAGCACTTTTTACACACAAGAGTCAATAAAATTATAACTATTTATTACTTGTAATGCAAGTGGCAGTAACCAGTAACAAAAAGTGTCGCTTTTGATAAATTTCATACACATGAATCAGAAGAAAAACATTTTGCTTTAATGTTTTAATTATGATCACAAATATTGGAAAAAATCTGTACAATTACCCAGTTGCCTCAACACAAGATTGACAAGAACAGCATATCAAAATAAGATGTTAAATAATGGAGCCATTTAATGAATATCAACAAACACAGTAACTTATAAAAAGAGGCAACTGGAACATCACACGTTGATAACCTGTATTTACCACACAAACATTTAGAAAAATAGTAAATTAAAATGACTTACATAAAATTGCAATAATTAATATATTTTTGTATTAAAGAGCTATTGAATATGTATTTTTCAAATGGCTTTCAGAGTGGAATGGTTTACAAAACAGTAAAAAATGTAAGTAGTGAGAGAAATTACATCAAACATTAATAGGTCACTGAAAAATCACCAAGAAATATTTGGTTATATTGAAGCAAAGAAGCTAGTGCTAATGTAATTACAAAATAACACATTTCTTTTTCTTTTTTTTCTTGACCTGCAAAGCAGCTCGTGTTGCCATTTCAAAAACTTCTCTAACACCTTCTTTGGTTTTTGCTGAGCACTCTAGGTATCCAAAAGCATTAATTTTCTCAGCCATTGCCCGGCCTTCTTCAGGTTTAACTGGCTCTTGTTTCATTTTCGCCAACTCTTTTATAGTAGCAGGATCTTGCCGCAAATCTTTCTTGTTTCCAACAAGTACAATCGGCACATTTGGGCAGAAATGCCGTACTTCGGGATTCCATTTTTCCATGATATTTTCTAAAGAGTCCGGGCTATCTATGCTGAAGCACATAAGAATGACATCTGTGTCAGGATACGAGAGAGGTCGAAGCCTATCATAATCTTCTTGACCAGCAGTATCCCACAGAGCTAATTCAACCTAAAAAAATTTCCATCTATTTAGATGTAATTATAGCACATGTATAAATTAATCAGGGTTCATAGCCACATTTTAGTTAAAAAAATAAGCACCTTTCAAGCACATTTTAAGAAAAAAAAAAAAAATAAGCACTTGTCTAATTACATTATACACAACTGCATAACCTTAAAAATTAGACTTGTAATTTAAAATATGAGAAATGCAGTATTAATTAAGAGAGAATAAGCATTACCTCAACCATGGAAAATAATTACTTTTATTTTTTTTTTTTTTTAATTTTAAATAACAGTTCAATTTACAGAACTAGTTTACAATGAGAGGGGAAAAAAAACTATGCAGAACTAAACTATATTACAAGATTTAATTATGAAATTTCAGTTCAAAATAGAGAAAATAAATAATAAGGCATATTTATTGTATTCGCTTGGAACCTAATAATAAATAAAATTTATTTTTCCACTCATATTGATATTTAAATAATTTAAATCTAAATTCTGAACAGCGTTAAATTTCCGGAATTGAATAGAATCATTCTTTGCTTGGGTTGGTAGACCGCAGAATTTTTAGTCCTATTCAATCCAGATTGGAAAGTGACAAAAAAAAAAAAAAGTCCGTTGCTTGTTTTACAGCGAACTGTAACAGTTTCAATATTCGAGATTTTGAGGAGAAAGGGGAGAACCTCCCAATCTTCATACTGTATAATGTATTGGCCAAAAAAAAAAAAATTATTTTTACTATTCGATTACTTTCCCTTTATTTAAGCCATTCCGAATATTATTCCTTAGAAAGCTAATCTGTGTTAAAACACAAACATTTTTAAAAGTTTACTATACTTCAGCAGTTACTGCAACTATGTTATTATAAACATTCATACATATGCTCATAATATAAGCATAACGATCATAATAAACACGAATATGAACTGACCAAGCGGAACGAGAATGCAAATTATTAAGATCTTGATAGAAATTCAAATGTGCGTAGTATTTGGGTGGGAGGAAAAGAATGCCGAACGTACCGGAATTTTCTACTGCTTTCGCAATTCTTTGACCAATAGAATGACGGGCACCTGTCTGTACTCTTCGTGCACACCAAAGGTTATGTTAAGAAAGAAGAAAAGAAAGAACAGAGAAAGAAGAAAAGCTATTTCCGGGAGTATGATTCACCATCTGACATTCCATATTAGGAAGAAAAGTTGTTTATTTAGTTTCAGCTTTGGTACGGAGAAAAATAGTGCGTTCATTAAAAAAAAAGCACTAAAAGCAAAAAATAAGCACTTAAAAACAAAAAAATAAGGGCTTTAAAAAAAAGCAATCACCTATAAGGGTCTTTATATTTTATTTTCAAATATAAGGACTTATAAGCACTTATAAGGACCGCTATGAACCCTGTTAATCATTGCCGAACAAAAATACTGATAAAGTTTTCTTTGTCTTACAGAATAAGTATGCATAAAAAATTAACATAACTGAAGTCAACTTTTAAATATAAAGAAAAACACATTTCTGTTAATGGGATCACCAAATATTACCAAATGTAGCCTGTTTCAATCCCGTTATGCATAACTGTTAAATGAGTTTTCAAATATGCAGGATGAATAAACGTCATTTCAGAAATTTTTACTCCAAAATTTTTAATTGTTTAAGTGGATGAATCAGCAGCTGCTAGATACAAACACCAGTAAGTTAACCACAAACACATTACTGATTCTGGTACAGGATACCATGTGAAAAATGGTAAAATAAATATCAGCAGAGCACCCGCTGCCACCATCTAGATTCTTACCTTATCAAATTCATGTGGCAGCAAAATGAATCAAAAGATGCAAAAGCTTTCAGCAATATCACGTGAAATTGGCAGCTTTATGCCTCCTGAGTAATAAAAAATAATCTGGTTAAACCTTCCTTGTAATTTTGTGTTTGTCTTTACTTTTTGCATTTATTCTGGATTTAGTACAAGTCCTTCTTTTCATAAAACTTTATATATCATTACGGTTGCCAGTACCTAGTTATATTTAGCACTAATGTTTGTCTGGCAAAAAATACAGCCCAATTAACAGAAATACATCAAGGTAACTTGCTATACTAAATTCCTCTCTACTATCTTACACCAGAAAAAATCTTAATTACATACATAATCCTTTCACAAATATATTTTAAATCATCTAATGTTTCGAGACATTTGCTAAGTTACCTACCAGACTATTAATTTTTTAAAATCCAGTTGAGTTTATGATACCACTTTAGCTTTCACCAATACTCTCTCTGTGCTTCAATTAAACTGATCTTTGCTGACAATTTTAAAAATTACGTATGTTAAATGCTTGATATTCCATAAATCATAAATACATAAAAAACTATCACACTAGTACCTAATAACACACTCGTGCTTAAGATAAGCAACAAATGCTAAAAAAGGGTTCGAATGTAAAAAGAAGAATTAAAACATACAATTTACCCACGAGTTAGGTATTGCATTGTTGAATGCAAATAGACAATCAAAATTAGCACAAAATGCAATCCTGCAGCCATACCACAACGCCTTAACTGTTTAAATACCAAAGCCTTCACTAATATGTTAAAATATAGTATAGTAAAACATATGTTAAAAAAACCCAAACCACCCGAAATGGTTTCCAAGAGTCACACAAATTTCCTCCCCTCTCCATCCATTAACGTACAAAGAGTGAAGATTTCAAATGACATCCTTTCTACTAACAAATAATGTTAAGAAACCACAAATAAATCCTTTTAGGACAAGCTGTCTGCAATAAACTGATACAATGTATTTGGGGAAACTGCACTTGCTACTGCATACCTTACGGGAGGAAAGAAACAACACTGGAATTTCGGCCAGTTGTGGTAATTTGAATGAAAGGAAGTCTGGGACATTATGGTTTTCAAAAAGTTAAAAAGGGACATGTCAAATCTATGCCTTGAAAGCAGTGATAGTTCAATGTAATCTGAGTCAGAAAAAGCGAAAAGCACGACCTGAAAACACCATTTGCATGATGAAATTTGTTAAGACGGCTGTCGGGATGTTGCAAGCTGGCGCAAGACAATCAGCTGATACAAACAGAGTTGAATGTACATCATAACCACAGAGATCAAAACCCCTATAGAAGATGTGGGTCGGTATGCTGGAGTATTACCATAACAGTAGACGATCACTTTTGCGCTTTGCTGTTGCTATGTGCAAGATGCCGTAAATCATTAACAGCATGACAGTTGGCATCACATCTCTGCTGCTGCAGGACGGCCCATATCCTGCCAAACTGTATTACATCGACTGCATGACAGTGGACTGTACGCACAATGACCGGCGATTTGTCCCAGTCGCATGTCAGAGCACAGTGGAATTGGGCCTATGAATATCCCAGGTGGAAATCACATACTCTTTACAAATGAGTTTTGATTTAATAGCCAGGACATTTCACAATGGGCAATGATATGGCGAGAGCCAGAAGCACGTTACCGGATGCCAAACATTGTCAAAAGAGACCATTACAGAGAAGGAGGCTTACTTCTCAGCAACAAACGGCTGCACTGACCTCTAAGTGATTTCTGGTGGTTCCATCATAAATGTCCGATATTGCGACGGAATTCTACACCCTTTTGCGCATTGCTGCAATGAGTACTGACGCGATATTTATGAACAATAATGTTCACTAGCATTAAGCTCGAGAGATGCAAAGGTTATCTGCGAGTGAAACCTTTTCAAATCTGCTGTGGCCTGGTAGATCACCAGACTTGAATCCCAAACAGCATGTATAGTACACAATGGGACGACACCTTCCACAATCTCCAATGTGCATTACTACAGGAATGTGGATTACTACAGGAATGGGCACTACTGCCACAACAAGCAATCAGCGACACTACTGTCAACTTGCCTCACCATTGTCAACCATGCATTTCAATTAAAGGGTACCGTACCAGTTATTCACGTGATATTTCCACTGCACATCCTTCTTACCCATTTGTTCATTTGAGATGTGATAGTCATAATATATGTTTTTGCATGCCTTTGCTTTACTTTTTGCTGTGTGCTCTAGTAATGCCACATTAACCTCTTGGATCAATCTGACGCATATCCATTATACAGTTTTTGTTTTATTCAGTGTTTGGCCCATGTTGCTTACTTTTTGAGCAGGATTGTATTTCCTCATTTTCTGCTACATTATGATTGTCATTTGAATATTATGCAGCATACTGCAATAAAAGAAGACAAAGAAATAGCTTAAGCAACTTCTTAGATGACATCACCAGAATGCACTAAATTGAAAAAGCTCTTGTGGCATGAAGAGGATCAACAGCCTTTCATAAAACAGAATCATTCAAGATTGTATATCTATGGATTATATTTCTTTTTTAAAAAAATTACTCTGCAAGAACAAAGTATCCAATGATATACGTGATGAAAATATGCCCGATGCATAATTTAAAGGTGAAGTTAAGTAAGATATTTTTATGGTACGAGAATTTTCTGAAATACTGGTTAATCATATCTTGTCAATTATGGAAAAACTTATATGACTAAGAAACTAATAAAGTTTTGTGATAATTACACCACCAACTTAATAAGTTTTATTAGAGAAAAAGGGAAAATAAGCTTTACAAATAAAAACTGCAAGAAAATGAATATTTTGGAAGGTTGTTATGCTGCACATTTGGTTTACACGTTGCAAATATGTGCAAACATGCTAACAGTTGATGCTGAATCAATAAACAAACAATAATGCTATGAATTTTTAACATTTTCATTGCTAAAAATAATTTTAACTTTTTAATGCATACAAGGCAGAGTTAGATTATTAGAAAAACACATGGCTTTTCTGTTACTAAAAATTAAAAACACTTTTTGGTGATCTCAAGTCACAAAAGCAAAAGAATCTTGATGGACATTTTTAACAATACATACTATATTTCGCGTATATGATTCATTCATAGATATATTAAGTTGCAATACATGAAAGGGATAGAAAAAGGTATTTATGGTAA